CTGGTGTAACAACTCCGACGAACGTTCAGCTTTCAAGTTCATACACAACCACGGATCTGCAATAAGAATACTGTGGGTTGGCCACGAATTCGGGCCAACAATCCAAGCCCGGAATGGAGAAACAAATCGGACGACTGTTACTTATTTGGTGTGTTCTCAATCGGGCTGAGATCAAATGCTTATTTTTTTGCAGCTCACTTGCTGTATCTAAAGTAATGCGCCTGTGAATTTAATTTAATTTAGTACCTCCTATCTGCTTTTGTCAGCTGACAAACGAGCAGGTTCACGCTATCCACAAGGTGAGTGAATCTTTTGCTGGAGGCATCCAACTCACCAAAGAAACCAGAGCTAGGCAGTTTGTCTCTACCTTCCGTCAATGGTCAAGTTCGCTCTTGCCATCTGACATATTCCACTGCTTTTTGCCTGCTGCTCTGTGTTGGCTGCACGAACCTCACTTGTACCTGGTCTGGGGGTGTCTTGCGTGGACGCCTGGTGACAACAGCACAGAGCTAGCATGGGCAGGCAGCAGTTGCGTCATTGAAGGCGGATATCAAGCCCGTCTCAAACAGAAATGTGTGACTATTGTGACAACAGAAGAATATTGATTGAGGCTTGCCTCTTTTCCGTACTCGACGTACCCTAAGAGCACGCTGGACGTTGTGCCATTACCCTGCCTCGACCCAATACAAATATAATTAATGGAAAACATTAATAAACGCAAGGTATAGACGCGTTGTTCCTTTATCTATGCGTCAAGCTAACTATCTTATTCAGAGCTCTTCCAGTGCTCCAGAGGTCTGTCAACTGCTTCTCTCTTGCGCAAAACTGATATGCTGGTAGCCTGTAACAAACAAGAAGCCAAAGCTTGTGGATGTTAATAGAGAAAAGAGTTCTGCTGAGGTGCGTGGCCCAGCACTTTACTTAGGTTATTACTAACTTGATTAGATGTCAACTGGGCATGTCAAGAAAGTGGGGAAACCACCAATACTACCAACGAAGGTAAAGAGCCTCTCTTCTCATGTATCTGGTTGTCTTATCCATCTTTAGAAGGCAAAACAGGAAGCAATCGACGCGAAACGTGCCAATGTGTCATCACAGGCTGCTGCCCAACGACGCGCCAAGCGACAAGAGAAATACGATCCCCAGCAAGAGCTGCAACGACTACGCCAGAAAGGACGCGAACTTGCACCTCGCGTGGCCCCAGTTCTCATTTATGAAACACGTGACCGTCTGGAAGCGGAAGCAACCCGACAACGAGCAATTGCGAGCACTCAGAGCTTTACAACATTGGCCGACGTGCAGAACATTGCTCACTGTTGGATCAAGTCTCACTCACAAATCGTCATTCCTACCAACTCACCTGCCTGGCAAGACGTACCTCTTGATCTCGCTGTTGCACTGGTGCAGTATTCTCTCAGTGGACACTTTGATCCCAAGCCCTTTGTCGCAAATGGCACTTTGGAGCTATGTACTGGCGATATGGAGGAGGAGTCCAAGAACTGCCAATTCTATTTACGCTTCGTGCCAATGAATGGCAGACAGGCAATGGCCAATGCTGTGACCAAGGCTTGGTCTCTTCACCCTCAAGAAGCCCCCAACTCACTGACCAAGCTCACCATGCTTGGATATGGTCCTGAAAGTTTTTGGAAAGTGATTGAAAACGCTTGGAGCCCTCTCTTGGTCTGGAGACGGTGGCCACCAAACTCTGCGATATCATTGCTGAAGCCCCGGATGTAACAGTTCTCCATGATTCCATGCCCTCATCTCACCCAGAGCCTAACTGCCTGCTATATGCGGGCATGACCACGCAAGACCCAGCTCAGCGTGTTGTCAACGATCTGAAGGGTGGCGTCCCATACAGGTTCACCAACTCCTGCAACGCAAACGACATCTCCTCCTCAAATGTGAAGACATACAAGGTGGTTGATCTTGCCGTCCCAATCACCTCAAGCCTCGACACCCGGGTAGACCGAAACCTGGGAGACCGCGAACGGATTCTAATTGCACTCATGGGATCTATGTCACTCAACTCAGCCTTTGGTGGCGTCAAACCCTTATATGCACCAAGCCCTGAGCTTTTGGCAATTCACCACGATGTTCTTTCCCGACTCCCCTCGCCACCATATCCGTTGGGTCAGGAGCAGGTCCCAGACAAGCAGAAGGCTGTTCAATCTTTGTTTGATGATGAAATACAGTACCTGCAATCCATCTTCCCTGACGACATCGCCTCTGATAAACACATCAACTATGTGAAAGAGTTCTGGCTAGGTGCTTTGCGACACAATTATGGACGTGTCGTTGCGCTTAACGTCATGAAGGACATAACCTCAGAAGGTTTCTATGGGCGCATCAATGGCTATTTTGACGAGCTCACCGGCATAAGCCCAATGGAACACCGTTACTTCCAAGCACTAATTGACACTCTAATTCCTTTGACTGGCGACCTGTCTGTGGAAATACTTGCGGAACTGCATGGTGTTTTCCTTGACTTTTGGAAATTCCTAATCCGACCCTGCCGACGCTTCTATCGCCTTCATGTCCTATTTCTCACCCGCATCCTGGACATTATACGTCCAATCCTTGTTGTAACACAGTCCAACCCTGTGGCGAAAACTTTCCAGTCTGGGATTCTCGCCCAAGATCGTGAAGCACTATTCCAAGGAAATATACAGTTCCAAAACGGTACAACAACGGAAGAGTTTGTCCAGTCTTTGCCCCACCTTGCACCCAAGATCTTTACGGATGAAGAGTATTTCCAAATCGTCGGTGTTCCGAGAATACTACCAATTGGGCCAGGTGCTCGACTCTGCATCCATCTGCCACTGCTGCACTATGGGCTGCTGAAATATGGTCCTCAGTGCTACGAAAGTCTTTCTATTGTCTGTTATTTGTCCGAGCTGGTCGTCTACGGCTTCAAACGCATTGTGGCGCAGCAACTGGAGAAGGTGCCAATGTTGGAGATGGACTGGGACGACGAGACCAAGACACGACATTGGCTTGAAGCGACTCTCATTGAGGCGGATAAATATCTCAGCAATGTCTATAAGCGGCTGAAAGCGGCAAAGGAGGATGCCCGGGCCCTCGTGTTTACCAACAACTTCCTTTCCTCATTGGCGACCTCTTACCAGCAACTCCAACTGCAAGTGGAGGAAAATTCAGCTCGCTGGGGGATGGGACCTATCACACGACGTAGTGGGCTCATCACAGCTCGCTTTGGTGAGCCTCGAGCTGAACAAGCATATTGCCTAGTCAAACTGGCTGAGCGCTTGAAGTCTTATGGCCTCTGGCACGACCCTCACAATGTCGAGCCCTTTGGAATGGAAATCGGTTCGGAAGAGTGGTATGAGTGGTTCATGGGGTTAAAGGAGGGGATTCAAATCATCTATTCTGCCAACGCAAACGGGAAAACGGGCTGAGGCAGCTGCTGCATCCCAAAAGAGCCGTGATGATATCGCATTGTATCGACCCAACATAGCAAGCAAAGAGGACGAAGCGGCAAAGCGTTTACGACACCTTCAAAATGCTGTCACCTTTGCATGCACGCTCTCTACGGACCTACCAACCCGAAAATTGGAGGAGTGCTCACGGTTTGGAATCTGCGATGGCAACAGCTGTCATGCTGTACTGGCAGCTGATACCAATTATGCCTCACATGAGTGTTCTGGCTCGAGCCGCAGGATCGACCTGAAACTGTGTTCCAAGTTGGAACGAACGCTCTACGTCCATGACCTGGAGGAGCTATGGGTCAAAATGGAACTGCAAGCCAACGATGTGGATGACTCGCTGGTCCAGTATACTGTTGGTCAAGTCTTTGCGCTGGAAGGTCAGGATGATGCGTTGAGGGAAGCGCTACCACAGAATGCTGATTTCAACGCTATCATGTGGGGGTCAGTAGCATATGCTGACAAAGTGGTCTACACAAACCAGATGATGACTTCCCCCCTTCGCCTTCTCACTCTTGCCGTCGACCGGATTCTCCACAGCCAATCTCGCTCTTCTGAGTCCAAGACTCCTCCCCATTTTGAACCATTGAAGTTCAGCCGGAGGGCGTGGGATAGCGACAATAGCAAGAAGCTGGAGGGCTGGCTTACTGAACGTGAGTTTCCTGATCATCTCATGATTGAAAAACTGATTGCTTTTGGATAGGTAAACCAAATCTCTTCTTTGGGAGCTGCCGTGGCAAGGACAGAGACAAGCCGCAATGGACATATTGTGTCATCAAGGCAACAAAGGCAAACTATGGAGCGAGAATGGGCAAGCTGAAAACCGCTGGCCAAAAGTGTGAGCATTGCAAGAGCGCATCCTGCAAATCATCAGAGATCATGGAAGCTGAGTCGCTATTTTTTATGCCACATCATTTCTCGCGCGCTGCTTGGTATCTTCGAGCGTTGAAGCTTGGATGGCTGAAGTGATGTTTTGTCAGACTTTGTTGTACTTAGCAGATTGACCCCAGGTACTTGTAAGTAATACACAAGTAGTAGGAATAGACAGTGAATTCATGTGAAATGGCGACACCTCTACCCAAGTCATATGACCAATGGACATAGGTGGTAACGACACTCCGAATGCCAGAGAGGGCATCCCTGGTATCCCAGCAGTGAAAGAATCGTCACAAAATATGCAGCCGTTGTCGAGATGAGTCGCCAACAAGTTTTTGATGGTGTGTGATGGGATGTGTGACATGCAATCAATATTTATGATGGGATCAACTGGGTGTTGCGTAGGCTCGCTCTACTCACCGACTACAACATCGAAGATGGTGAGGTGGTAGGCCATCCCTGACCTATAGCTATATATGCTAGTATGCAGTGAGCAGAGCACATAGAAAAGATGTAAGTGCTTTCTAATCATCCTACTGAATTTCACAGCTTAAGCGCTCACCAACTCCTCTCGCGTTCACACATATTCCTTACACATACAGCAGTCACTTCCTCGAAACCCTTACCTACAACACACTTACAATGCACTTACTTCAACAAAAAAAGCTTTTCATTAGCCTATTAATATTGATCGCGTGTTGATACTGCAGAAAAAATGCCCTTCTGCTCATAGTCATGTTCCCCGGCAGCTTCCATCCACACTGGAGTCCGCCCAGGCCCATCTGCCCACTCTACCTCGTCCCCTCTGGCTTTGGATGTTGTCTGCATCACAGACATATTCATAGGCCGGAGCGCTGAGTCACCCAACGCTATCCTGCCTGCCGAGGTGTGAGCCAAAAGATATTTGAGGTACGATATCTTCAGCAAGCCTGTGAGAAGCACAAAAACGGCACTGAGGACTGCTGGTAGCCAAATAATGCACAGTAAAAGTGCAGGGATCGCATAGCGTAGGTCATAGGCCACAGAAGGAACATGCTCGGTCACTTGAAGCTCAGTGCGTGAGGCGGTACCGACAAGGTTGTTGGCCATGACATCAGTCCACATGAGCGCTCGAATTTGCTTGACACCATTGGTGGGATCAGCTTGCATTAGCTCCTGGTACTTGTGCAAGAGCGCGTAGTTTGACAAGCCAGAATAGTCCACGACTTGCGACACTCCAACGACACCTGAGATCTGAGCCCAAGTGATTCCTGGCATGACACTGGGTAATCCACCAGTCGTGAGACCCCACACGTCTGCGCTGCCGGCAGGAACATAGAAAACATCGCTTCGGACCGTCCATAAATCTGAGTCGCTTTCCGAACCATCTGCGACACGTCCCCAGAGCAAATCGACGTCAGTGATTTTCAAATCGGCCTTCTCCATTCCCCACAGTACAGGAGTGTTGATGTTGCTCCGTCTTATGTTGATAGCGCCAAGCTCTCGAGTCCCATTATACGAAAACTCGACCCGCTGCATTCTAGCGCGAGTCGAGCCGGCGCAAGTAAACATCCGTTGTGTCCACGTCGAGCCATCAGCAGGAACACGCTCGTCTCCACCATCCGTTCGTTGAGGAGGACCCAGGAACATGGCGCACTTGACGGCGACATTCGAAATATTGGCAATGTCCTGCCCACCATAACCTTCGCAAGCAGTCTGAACATCCGATCGAGTGACCGTGATATTATCGGGAGTGGTGATTTGACCGAGATATAAGAGCGGAATCGGCTGACTTTTACCGGGAAAGAAGTTGGTCTTGGTCCAACTTAAGGGCGACACCCTCCCGGCATAGGACGCATTGCGCGTCAAGTTGAGCTTCATCATGGTGTAGAAATTGCTGAGAACGGCGCCTTTGTAGGCATGATGCTGAAGGTCCAAATTATTCTGTCCGTCTCGATCGAGGATGGGGTAGTCGTGGGTGAGATTGTAAAACCCTCCGGAAAAACTTAGCACACAACAAGAGACGAAGAACAGGTCATACCTCCTCTGTCTGTTAGATTGAAATCATTAACTTGGATTACATCGTTGTGGTTTTGGAGGGTGTAGTCGATTGTGAGGTTGGTGTCTGTGCAAGCAGAAACGGGCTCCAACCATATCAGGTCCTCAGCCCAGGTTGCCCCCCGTTTGAGATTTACTGGGAGCGTGTGGTTCCAAAGACCGACACCAGGATTGTCAAAGTCCACGACCAGACCGCCCACTGCAAAGATGCCTGTTCGTAGAATAAGGGACTGGGTCGTAGCTACTATTGGCACGGAAGTTGTCCAATTTCGACCTAATTTGGATTAGAAGGATGGATAAGATTTGAAAGACTAGTACCTGAAGTACCGTTATAGTATCTTCTGAATTGCATACTGAATGGACCGTAGGGAGTTGAGTTGAACTTGTCCACAATCACCTGTGGGATGACCGTAGTGTTGACCGCTCCGCCTGGGCAAACCACCATGCTGAATGCCCCGCATATCCGACCGTACAAGTAGTCGAGTCGCGGAGAAGTCGCAAGTCCCAGCGGCGAGGTGTCTTGCACGAAGGTTGCAGACACTGTTCTGACGGGTGCACACATATCAAGTCCGTCGCTAAGTCCAAGAGGCATAATCACTCCAGAAACCGCGACAAGTATCGTCGTGACGAAGGACAGCATAGAAAACAATGCAACTCGTCCACCAGCACCTTTCAAGGTGTCGGAGCGCAGTAAAGTCGGCCAGAGACTTGAGTGAAGCTTTCTCCCAATGACGTTCCATGCTACCGCCGGGTTTATTGGCGGTAGAAAATAAATGAAGAGTGCGATGAGACTGAGCCCGACTGTGTACTGCAGAAACGCGATGATAATGTTGATGATGGTGGCTGCTTGCGCGACCGTTACTCGTGCAACGACAAGAGCCATTGGCGAGACAAAAAAGAAGAAGGCGAGAGGGAGGAAAGGGAAGATAATGAATGACACTGAAGCTGAATGTTTTTGTGTGCGCCGCTCATAGTTGGGCGTCGATCTTTATCAAATGCCAAGAGACTAGTATGAGGTGACCAGAAGAGAGAAGGTATAATATCCCTTCAGGTGCATGTAAATTTGAGCTCCAGACGAGCCACCAACCATTGTAAGCTTATGCCATGGACGATAGCTTCACGAAACCTCAAGAGAATGCCTCGATTTTGTTGGACGTTCCCAGTTGTTGTTCCCAGCAAGATGCCTATCTGTTGCGAGTTTGTTTGTTTGTTTGAGTAAATGCAAATTTATCGATGAGCGGTTGCAGTTGAGAGGTTATGCCATGAGGCACAACAGGCATAAACAACGTGAAAGTTGGAAACAAGAACGTCACAACCTTCCATATTTGGAAAAGAGATTCGTTGTTATGTACAGTTGACATTCTAACAGCAAAGCAGAACCAAGGGAAAGGATATAATAAGTAGATACAGAGAAGAAAAACGGCATTCGTCGGCCAATGCCATCGTTATGAATACGCCGCACTCTCCAACCCAGCCTTACTAACTCTCCTCATCGGCTGCAATGTCGTCTCGTTCACTGGAGCCCTTCTCGCATGCCTATACTGCCCAGCGGCATTCCTCACCTCTATCTCCTGGCCTACATTCCCAACCGACTCGTCCATGGGTTGCACGGGGCCCTCTGTCCCGACTGCTGAGAATGACTGGGATTGCGAAAAAATGGGTGGTAAACTTTCGCGGATATGGCCTCCACGTCGACCACCAACAGCAACATTGTAATTGGCGTTGTGACTATGCCCGGCGCCTGGCCCATGGCCTTGAGAATGAGAGTTGCTTTCATCTGTTGCAGACGATGGCTGAACCCCGACACTTTTCCCGCCAAGCTCTTCCTCCTCAAATGTCATCAGCTCACTGACGAATCCAATGTTGGGGGAGATGCCCTTGCGCCGTTCAAGGACAAATGCGTAGGCCTTGGATAGTGTCCAGTGATTAGCGTGAATGAGATAAGCCATAACAGCTGTGACAGAACGACTCTTGCCCGCTTTGCAATGGACATAGGTGGCTGCAGAGTGTAGACGAGCATCATCTTTTGCGCAACGTTAGACCACTGGCAGCATCATTAAGTGAACGCACCAAGAATTTCGCATACTTCGCGAACCCCCCTTGCTATATTTTCCTCCTCGACTGTGTCTCGCATTGGGATCTTATGGTATTTGAAGATGGTGCGGAGATGAAGGCCGTGGTCATCGTCACACTCAGCTGCAATATTGAGAATTCGTCGTACTCCAAAGGATTGGAGCTCAGCAACATGTTCAGGCTGTGTAAGCTCTGGGCCAAGGAATAAGAATCCAGGGAGGATGGTGCTGATAGCAAATTCAGGTACTGGCTCTTCTGTTGTAGGCGGTTCGTCAGGCCGAGCCGTCGCAGGTGGGTCTCGACCAAAGTTGAAACCATTAGGGCCACCTCTAGGAGTGCCTGGTGTATGCGGTGGTGTATAATACGCCGTGGGGAATTCGCCTCCGCCAGAAATAGGAGAAGAGAGTGTCCAAGGAGTAGAGGGTGAAGGCAAAGTCGCGCCATAAGAGGGTGAAGGAGGAGCAAGCGCAATATTTAACGTATTTGCTTTGAGAGGGACAGTGCGGACGGAAAGCTTGAGTCGTTCTGCCGACTTGGTGTCAAGTTTACGTAGATTAGGCGCAGATGGTCGGCGTGGTGGAGGCGGGGGTCGCCGAAAACCTGATTGTGATGGTGGTGGTGAAGGAGACGAATCGATGAGGTTTGGTGTTTGTGACGATATGATGGACGACATGAGCGGGAGTGGTGAGCGTGGAGGCGCTGGTAGCGTTGCAGCTAGAGAGGCCGCAAGTGATGCGTTAATCTCCATTGACGAACGAGTGTCGATTTCTGGCAGCGTTTTTGACCGGACAGCAGCGACGGTGTCCAGCTGGAACAACCCACTCGCTTGTTGCTCAGAGTCATTTCCGGATACTATCAACGACTCTAGTGCATGCCCCGCCTTCGATATACCACCCTGCAAAAAGTCGACGACACCATACGGTGTAAGGGGAGTGAGGATGGGTAACAGCGACTTGTCTTCTTCTTCACCATAAACCACAACATCTCCATCCCATGGTCCATTCGGTCCAAGAAGTTGGTCCCAGTCGCGCTTGCCTTGCTCAGAAGTAACATATTGGCGCAAAGCTTCCAAAGATTGGAATGGGTTCTTCTTGGAGCGTTTAAGGATGAGGGATGGAATGACGAGGTTGATGCTGTGTCGAATGTGGAAGGCCTTGTGCGCAGCTTGTGGCCGTGTGTCTATGAGGAGCGGACGACGGGAGTGGCGGAGGCGTTCAATGAGGGATGCCGGGCCAACGGGTCTGGGTTCGCGAGACAAAGAACCTATAAAGCGTGCACTCGGTGGCCCATCTGGGGTAAAATATGCCGATAGACTCGACGCTGGACTGCCAAAGGAAGGGTCCCAAGGCGAGGAATCACCCAATTGAACTTTGGGTAAAGAGCCTGAAGAACGGATCGGACGAAGTCGAAGATTCTGTTGGACATTTTTCCTGAGTTCTTCCAGACGCTCTAATGACCGGGTTATGTCTCCGTCATCATCGTCCAGTAAAGGATCAGGCGAGTCGAGCAGACCATTGTCGTTGTCCGCCGCGAGGTCTAATCCTTCATCGTCAAGGTCAACAGGCGTAGCTGACTCCAGCTCTATGGTTGACGCCTTGGATGACGGGGCCGCTTGAAGCGTCAAGTTTGGCGGACGTCCTCGCTTCGCAGTGGCCATCGAGCCACAGAGTAAAGAGTAGATCAATCACAGCACATCAAATTCTGTTTCAAAGCGGCTGGTTACAACTCCTCGAGCTCCTCAATGTCAACAAGCTCGACTCAGTTTCTGTTTCATCTTGAACCTACATAGCGTTGACCGTTCGCCTATGTTCGACTACTTCACCTCTCCTGTAACGCCTTCATCCGTCGGGTCACACTTATATTTTCTCCCCTCGCTCCGTTGGAGGACACAATGCCGTGTCTACGTACTGTCTTCGTCTTCTTGCTGACAACATGCGACTCTGAGGAGTATATATACCCGGAATATTCGGTCAAGTCAACCACAAATGGCATCCCAATCTGCTTCGATTGCCTTGGGGCCCTACTCTGAAAGTTATCTGAAAACTTTCTACCGTGCTCAATTTCGTACCACCCCCAAACTTCCTCCTCCCAACACCAATCTCTCTGGACATGTAGCAATCATTACTGGGGCGAGTGGCGGCCTCGGTCTTCATGCTGCCCGTCACCTTTTGGGTTTGGGCCTTTCTCACCTCATAATGGCGGTTCGTTCGCGGGACAAAGGCCATATAGCAAAGGTCTTGCTTCAAGCAGAGTTTCCTCATGCCCGAATCGATGTCTGGAGCGGTCTCGAGATGACTGATTATGGCGCGATCGAAACATTCACCAAACGTGTCAATCAAGACCTACCTCGCGTGGATATGGTTGTGCTCAACGCTGGTGTAGCAGGTATGAAGTTCAGGGTTGGATCCACTGGCCACGAAGAAATGGTGCAGGTAAACAACCAGCCAACATTTTCGCGATGACATGAATATTTTAATTAATACGTCTTAGGTCAACTTCCTCTCCACCGTGCTACTCTTGATCCTTCTTCTCCCCGTCCTGAGTGCCAAATCGAAGGCCTCCGCCACTGGAAAAGCAACACACATCACCATGCTTGGCTCCGCACTATCATATATCGCCGAGATCCCGAAAAATATGGATGCATTCATCTTGGCCTCCCTTGACACACCAAAATCGTTCAACCAATCGCGCTACTCGTTATCAAAATTTCTCCTCACACTTCTCTTTGTCCGCATTTCCCAGTTCATCTCTCCGGATCGGGACGGGATTGTGCTGAACTTGATTGAACCAGGCTATTGCAAGGGCACCGAGTTGTCTCGTGACGCTCGTGGTGGGATAAAGTTGCTTGTCAAGGCCTTCGAAGGCATGTTTGGGCGTAAACCAGAGGACGGTGCATGGATGCACGTCTGGGCTGCCGCTATCACTGGTAGTGAGACCCATGGCTGCTACCTCCAAGACTGGGAAATCAGGCCGTAAGATTTTCCGTCACGTTTGCACTCAACTTACCCAATTTCCAGCTTTCCCAAAGTCATCCACCAAAAGGCCGGGAAGGACTTCACTGACTTGTTATGGACACAAACGATGAAGGAGCTCAATTTTGCGCGCGTTCAGGACATCTTGGAACAATTCCAAACTCGCTGACCACTAGCTGCTTGGCTTTTGATACTTGGCGCCCAACCGCCACCACCACATCCTCACGCCCAACTCGTCCTTCTTCTCTTTCCCTTCCACTAATACATTCCCATTACCTTCCGTACTCTCTTCGCCATATGCAACAAATCTGCCCTTTCCTAATGTCAATTTGATGGAGCCTTCCAGAAAATAGTTTTGAACTGGTGAATAGACGTGCTTTGGCTTTTCACCTCTGATCATCGAGTTAACGTTCTTCACTACAATTTCCGTCTGGAAATGCGCTGCACGGGCCATTTTGGGTCCACCAGTTGCCGCAACATCGCCAAGTGCGAAGATGCGAGAATGGGAATCGTCGTCGAGAGTTGAGGAGGAAATTTGCAAGCTTGGATGGACAATGATGTGACCTGTTTCCTTGGAAATTGCATTTGGAGCCATGTCTTGCAGGAAGGCCGAGTTGGGCTTTTGTCCGGTACATGGGATCTTCATCGTTGTCAATAACTTGGGTGCTGAAATTTTGATCAAACTCACCACCAGATCGAAAGTCTCTTCGCCGTCGTCTGTCGTCAATGTGGTGGTTCCAGTAATTCGTGGCCGCTGTCCTAACACCACCTCGACTCCCAACTCCTTCAAAACCTTCTCCGCATGCTGTCCCAAACGCGGGCCAAAGGAAGACAACAATGTCCCCTTGGACTGATATATCCTGACGAGCTTTTTCTCTGGGAAGAAGGTTCGAATGTCTGCTGCAAGCTCCACACCAACTGCTCCCCCACCGATAATAGCTATGCGATCAGTTGCAGGGGATTCGACCTTAATCTGGAATGCCGACAGCTCTGCTTCGTTATGGACATTCCCCGGTGCAGACTGCGTGCAGCCAGTTGCGATTACGAGTAATTCCCATGGAATTACCGCCTCCCGGCCTTGATCGTTCAACACCACCAATACTTTCCCTGCGCTCACATTTCTTGCCTCTCCAAAGACCAGCTCAACTGACCCAGCGGCCATCGTCACCCCCTTCATCGATCCGTCATATGGAATGAATGGCGCCCATCTGTCCAGCCCTGGGGCGACCCCAAAGCGCGGCAAAACCCATTGGAAGTGAAACTTGCTGTTCTTCTCTACCAAGATCACGCGGAATCCGCTAGGCAGTGTTTCCGCGAGACGCTGTGCGACTTGCATGCCAGCAAAGGAGGCGCCCAACACTACAATATTTTTGCTTTTCGGGTCACTATAGGGTTGAGGTTCTGTCATATCATCTCTTGGAGTTGAGTAGGGATTGTACGTCAGGCGGTGGACGAATGCAAGGATACGTCGCCCAACCGCGGTCAAAATGAGCGGGAAGCCAAACGTAAGGATTTTACCGAAGAAGCGGAGCGTGTCGGTAGGCATGTTGAAGGAAACATACCTTATCTGATAATATATAAGGCTTGATTAGATGAGGCTGCTTAGTCTACAAGTGCGTGGCTCGGCAAGGCGGCCCACGCGTGAATGGATACAGATTCTAGTTAACACACAGATGGAGTGACACCCGGCCATACTGGCACTGGACTGGCAACTCTACTTTCTCGTCGACTGCCCATCCTACTATCATCATAGTCACTACCTTCGGCCTTGAGCTCACTGTGACCCATCTTCTCTAGCTTTTCGTCAAACATCCGATGCCGATATCCGCTCACGATGCGCTCGAGTAATTCGGACGTCGAGACGCCCGGTGTTCGCCTTGTTGGGAGAAATTTGCCTGTGATGGGTTGAGGACACGGAGGAGACAAAAGGAGGGCTGCAAGAAACCTTGCTTCTTGCAGAACGCATAGACATCGTCATGCCCGACAGCTGCGTAAGGGACCTCGTCATGTGCAACATAATCAATCTGGTGTTTGTCGATGAATGCTTGGTCAATGATCCATGGCGCATCAGGGACTACTTGGTCTACCCAACGGCAGTGTCTAACGGCCTCTAAACTGTTGTGCTTTGATGAGTAAGGGGGGGAAGTGGAAAGGTAGATGGCGCACCGCTCAGCATGCGTCATGATACCGCGCGCCTTATGTTCCCGAACTTGTTCATCCGAGTTCACACCGACGAGGAGATATACGGAGGGAAAGGAGAGTTTAGCTTGACGAAGTTGGAGGGCGTGCCCGAAATGGAATAGGTCATAGACACCTAGAAACATGGTGCTTAAGCAGACAATAGATAAGATATCCCGCGCCAACACACCGTCCGCATAAATCCTCGCTGGCCTATCGAGTGGCGGTGGGTTGGTTTTGTAGACCCTTCCATCGTCTCCGTTAATGGCTTTCTGTACGTAGTCTCTGATATCTTCAGGGGTCAAGGCAGCTGGATCGAAGGCAGCAGTCGAGACTGGAGCTGGCGCTGGCTCGGATAACGTCGAGGCGGCTAATTTCATTTCTTCTTCGTCATCTGTAGTTGCTGGCTCCACAGTTTCATTTCCCTCGAAAGTTGATGTTGACGTCGTATGGTGGTGCTCCCTCAGATGCGGCCTTGTCGTCGAAGTTGCAGTCGCACTCGACTCAACATCCCCATCGTAGGTAGGTGAATCGACCCCATCCGAGTCAGATATGATGCTTTGGGCGAGTTGGTGTCTCTTTGCTGTCGCATTGCTGTTGTTCAATGCTCGTTTCCTTGTTGGCGGGTGGTGGGGTCCGTCCGACTCGGACAGCGGATCGTTGTCCTCTTCAGAGGCATCATACGCAGGCGACTGCGAGTCAATTTCCATCGCTCTTTGAGAGCGTTTGCTGTGCAACGTCGACACTAGTTTGGACATCCAGATTCCAAGTAAAGTTCAAAATCTCGTGATTATCCAAATTTGGACAAGAAGATCACATTCATTTTTTCGAGCACATAATTCGGCTCACGCGCTGCTCACAAAGTTGTCGTCGAGTAGAGGATATACCTAAGACTACTATCTTGGATGAATTTCGGATTGAGAAATCCAATCAAGACGAAATCGCATCTTCTCACACCTATCACGTGCCTTCGCAGATCTTGCTTTCAAGAAAACAACCATGGACCGCGTATGTTGGCCCCATCTCAGATTTTTCAGTGCTCAGTCCAAGTCAGGGACGTGGTGGGCCGCCAAGAGGAGCTCCGAGAGGGGGTATGCGTGGTGGGCCAAGAGGTGGGGGACCGTCGTCGTCGATGGAGAAACCCAAACGCGAAGCCATCCTCGACTTGTCCAAATACGTCAATGAGAGAATCCGAGTCAAATTTACTGGTGGTCGCGAGGGTGCGTTTCATTTTTTGTTACTGTGGCTGTTGACACCTCCCTCGACAGTAAATGGTGTCCTCAAAGGATACGACCAGTTATTGAATCTTGTCCTTGATGATGTTGTGGAGCAAATGCAAGGTGTGTGTGTGATCGGCCGCTCGTTTCTTTACTGTCTGAACACAATCTAAGAACCAGACCTTCATACGCGACAACTTGGACTGGTCGTCCTCCGTGGCCCCACAATCACCCTTGTCAGTCCTGTTGATGGCTCGGAGGAGATCGCAAACCCATTCCTTGCCCCCGAATAGAAAGCAGCGCTGAGAGAGAGAGATAACAGCAGTCATGTTTTTGTATCTATTTTTCGAATCTTTTTCTGAATTGTACCTATTTTATAACCTCCCCAACCACCCAACGGCCCGTTTGCTCGATCAGCGATACCCACCATTGCCGGAGGGGCGGGCCAGCTCACTAACGCAAATGAGCCATCGGAAAACAGCAGAGCATGTAGCACTCACTCGAACGCCGATTGCACACATCCTTTGATTTGCCTATAATTGACGACGAGACAGCTTTGTTCGTCTCGTGCGGTGAGCATCAATTTTTCATCCGTGCCCACATCGAGCTTGTACTCTGATCAGTAAGAGCCTAATACGAATGTTCAGCTTCACAAACCTTGTTTAAACATGCTAGGACATGCCCCAAGTTGACATTTGGGTTGCCGGATTCATCGACCTGGTGGAAGACATGGTCGCGGAACAACTTGACGATATAGCGATCTCCAGTCTCGGACCATCGGTCGTCGCGCGCGAATCTAGTGCAGTTCAGCATTCAGTATCAAAGGCGTCTCAAAAACGAACTCAGGTCGCTCATTGATGAAGCCCAGTTTACAGAGAAGCCGAACGAGTCTGGCATTTTCCAGTTCCGTCATCAGCTCATTTTCTAGGACGTCCGTGGCTCTGGAGGGACGATATGAGTCATATAATGATGAAGGTTGGTTCAAATGTTACGTCAGAGCGTCAGCCATCTCATCGGCAACTCTTGTGCTGATGATGTCCATAACCTGGTTGATATTCTGGGCAATTGTCAGTGTCAAGAGGCTAGTAGACATAAACCACAAGCCTTGTGGGGGGCCCCCTTATTGATCAAGAACAATGCGACAGCTTTGACCTCCGGGCTATAGACTCTTCCCATCATTTCAATAGTCTTCTGGAAATTGCCTCCGCTCCATCCTAGAACCTGTCCCGAACACAAAGCAAAAATCAATCGCCCAAACATCGTCAAATCTTCCTGTTGTAGAGAATGCATGTCTTGCTGAGCGATAGGATGAGAATGCGAGTGGGTATGTGGCTGAGAGGAATCGTGGAGAAGGACATCGACAATACCGCAAGAGCTAACCCTCAAACGATGCTTTCCAGTGACGAGAATTTTGCTGGCGTCGATCATACGTAGAGCCTGGCCGGCATCATGAACATACTTGATTGCGGTCGCAAGTTGCACAATGTACGACCACAGTGTTCGCTCGGGAAGGGAAAGGTTTGTAGGCGGTTGATATCGTCCATGATGAGCGTGGGAAGAGCCAGGTTTGAGATGTGTTTCGAGGAGTGTTCTAGCTTTTGGATAATACGCATACGCGACAACCAAAGAGCTGTCCCCAAAAGCATGAGTGGTGAACGCTTCTTGGACAGCGACAATCCCTGGGTGACGAAGTTTGCTCCATGTTTCGATTGCCGTGAACGCGCTTTGGTTGGTCATACGAAAATCTTATCAGAGTTCAGCAGCAGGTGTGATTTTCCAAGCACGGCGCACTCTCGATTCGGCGCAGACAGTATGTAGCTCCGTCTTTAGAATTGACTGCTCGATAAACCGTCGAGTTCCAGTTTCCAAACTTGCGCCGATCCAGTGAGAGGTTATCGAGTGGGATGATGGAGTGATAACCCTGCATCTCTTCTGGAAGCCCGAGACCTGGGCAAATAAGAATCAAGTCATAATTTACATGTGGAAGGGACGAACCAGGTGTCGCGGCCATATGTAAGTCTTCACTGCGCGTCTGAAGGAGCGTCCGAAGTTCATGAGAAGGAGAGAGGAAATGCGTATCCGTGGAGTTGGCAAGGAATGATGGTGGAACTGGTGTTGAATATAGATGGTAGTTCAACTGGGGAAGGTACGTTCATTGAAAATACCAGTCATATAAAACACTGACCGGTTGACGGATGAATACTGGACCAACTGGCATCGTCATGTTCATGTAATAGTCCTCTTGTCCAGGGGGGTATGAGTCGTACGCGTTTGGATCATGGTAGTATCCGTTAGATGTCTATCGTAAGCACGGTGTGAAACTTGAAATAAGAACGAGCTGAAGTGATTACCTCGTCAACTTGAGGCGGATAGTCCGTGTAGTCGTCAAATGTCATTTCGGATGGATAAGGGCTGTAAATTCGTCAGTCGATGGCAGTTCAGCAAAAAAACGGAAACGAACGATTGAGGAGGTGGACTTGAGGCTGGTGCTGGACTTTGCGTGTGTAAGCGAGTCGGAAATTTGGGCACAAAGACAGGGGCATTAATTGCATTGGCAGCGAGGGTTGGCGGGGGAGTTGAGATCACAGGCGGAGATGCTGATGTTGTTATCGCGGGTGAGGTCACCCTGGGACTGGAATTGGTAAGACGGGTGTTTGGGGAAGGAAATTCAACACAAACATGGATAAAGCGTCTGGCGCCTGGATTGTCGAATGGGTAAGAATAGAGAGAGGAAGCACAAGGAAGACGCGCCGGTGGGTGGTAATAGGCACAACCTTTGTCCTGGAACTTGCAAGACCCATATATCATAATATTTCGACATTGCCGCTGCACAGAATCTTGACTTCATAAGTTGTCGTGAGGTGAGCTCAATTAGAGAGTTACCCTTCTGACTCGCTACTTTGGAAGATGGAGGGAGAGAACTTTGTTCAGCAACTGCCTCAGGCCGAACGATCTTGATAGCGGCTGATTGGGGCCTTGGAAAAAAGGCCATGAAGGAAGTTAACGCGCGCGAGCGGCCCTTGCTCAGCCGGCAAGTTGCTCGGCGTGGAGGTCGTGAGGTGTGTGATGTTCCGTGACAGCTACATAATCAGAAAAGGAGCACGCTTCGAATGTCTATGATATACTTACGGTGTTACAATCATGCTTTAGATGATAGATCTATTTCGCACCCCCATCGCTGCAGTTCTCTCGAAGCTCTGCTGTTTCTCGCCACTTGCCACCTTTCGAGGCGACCATCCAAATCAACAACCCGACTAGTGTGAGTAAACCGGCCCAAATAGTATATTGCCATCCATCGCCTACCGATTCCTGCCAAGTCTTTCATAAAAGATCGGTTTGGTTTGGTCGAGCGTACCTGGAGCGGAACTGCTACTTCTGTGGCCACGAATGCACTGATTCCGCGGAAGCAGCTGTTGGCAGCGACCACAGTCGATGAGCGACCATTATTTGCATCCACTATGTAGGCAAGGGTACTCGTATATGCCCATATGCCAAAAAACCCACACAAAAACAGGAAAACACAGATCGCGGCGACATGGATGTGCTTTGAAGTCACCCAACCAAATGCCAGAGCGCTCGGCGGTAGGCAAATTAAGCCGATTGTCGTGCTCTGTAAACGCATCTCTGGCTGGCCAACACCCCCGTTATTTGTTTTGAGTCGAGCGAGAATGGTATCAGAGTACCGACCGCCAACTAGGGAACCAGCCAACGAGCCGATTCCAAAAGACAACAGGATAAAGCCTGTCTGTAGGGCGTTGTATCCATACGAGCTTTCGAGAGCACGAGATGCACTATAAACCACAACGAAGTTGAAAGCAAACATCAATCCTAGACTTTGAGTAAGAGGGCAGTTTCAAAAGGTCGCGCTGGACTAACCAGAGGCGAGCAAAATCACCAGATTATTTGGTCTTCGCATCACGATCCATAGCGGCTGAATCGGGTTGACGTCGCGGAAGGTGAGTTTGATCATCGGAAGAGTAGCGCTAGCCTCTGCGACTGTCAGCTGTTGATTCTCTAGGTCCGCCTCCTTTCCAACTGGAGTGGTGGTGGTGGTGATTGGCTCACTGGCAGATATCCCGGATTTCTCGCAAGCATTGGCGATTCGCGCCTTCAACACACTTTGGTACGTCAAGCTGCGTTCCTTTCGGAACGTGTCTCGGAAAAACAAGAGGATGCAAATGCAACTTGTTCCGGAGACAATTGCGAGAAACCAAAAGGGTGCACGCCAGTTGAACCGTGTTGTGAGAGCCCCACCCATTATCGGTGCGAGAGATGGCTGAGGACATAAGTCAAACCACAAAAAAGTATTACGATGAGACGCACCCCAGCTAAAGGAGCAAGATAATATGCACCTGACGCAGCGCGTGAGTTTTTTTTAGTCACGGTATTTTTATTACTGCTGCACACCGAGCTATGTTTGGATTCCAGGATAAATTTCAGATTAGGGGAAAAGATCATACCTTGGTCCCTCGTTCCACCGGATCAAAAATATCAGCAAGAGTTGCCGCGCCTGGCCTTGATGAGAAATATAGGTTGCAAAGACTACTGTAAACTGACCGATAGACATGACTGCACTTGATCTAGAAGAGATGGTCAGCGTTATTCAGAGTTGTCTGTCTCATACCCAACAGCCTGGACCACTCTAAAGACAATCACACTGTCCAGAGTTCACAAACAAACAGAGAATAAAGCAAGTGAAGACTCACAGAGTAATTGTCTTGCTCAGTGCGACAGCGATCGAACCCCCGGTAAATATTGCGATAGAGGTTACGTAGACAACCTTGCGGCCCTTTATTTCACTCAATGCTGTCCAGAGCAGCGGACAAAATCCTGGTTTGTTTTGGTGATGAGACAAAGATGACATAACTTGGCCGCACCTTGAATCGCAATAAACAAACTGATAGAGAGACTGATCTGTGAGGCCGTCGCAGGCAAATCCTGCTCCATGTTTTCGATGGCGGCTAGTGTGCTCAGGGTCGGTAATTGAATCAGTATTAAGCCAATACCTACGGTTCTGAATGTTGGTGGCAAGGCCGGCAATCATCGAGGCAGACGCGATGAGCCACAAAACGACGCTCTAAAACGACAATGAGTATATGTTCATTGGGAGGGAGTCGTTCTCTCTTCACCTTGCGAATGCTTGTCCATACTCGGGGATCGTCGGTGACTGGCATGTGTTCTATGTCCGCAACGCGCAGAGACTCCGCCCTCGCATTGGAGCCCACGTCTTTGAATCGGGCCTCGGACATGCAGAGGGTTCAAGTTGGAACTGACAAGAGAATGCGTAGTCCACTTTTAAAGAGCTGGGAAATCCGAAAGCGCCGATTGCGTGCGGAAACCCGGTACGCAGTGGCCGGCCGGGTTATGGATGGGCCCATTATGTATGTGTCGCCAAAAGAAACCGACATAGAGCAATGGAAATCAAAGATTAGCTGTGGGAGTTGGGAGTTATTTCAGGTCTTTTCAGGTTATTTCGTGGAAGTCAACCACCAATCCACATACAACTTGCAGGTAGCGCGCACGACTTGTTCATGTCGAGTTTCATCGGCCGAGAAGGTTGTTAAACACCAGTGAGGTCCCTGTTTTGATGCTTCGGATACTGTGTCCGATTGCACTGGCTGAGTTGTTGGTTCAGTTTGCCGAGCCATCAAAAAGCTTCGGATTATGATACCAAGGGCGCAGACTCGGAAGAGTTTGTCTATTGTGCCCTGGATACGCCTGCTTGGGAAGCTAGTGGTAGAAATGTACGTCGGACCCTACTAGTTTCATGTTTGAAGGTGTCCGATACAAGTCAAGTTACTTACTTAGAAGAGTGAGATCATCAACGTGACCAATTCGCAGCCAGCTTAACTTGAGCGCTCGCCATGGCTTCCTACCCACCAACTGACCTTCCAGAGGTGGTATCACAACGACGCCTTCCCAGTCGACAGCGTTTCTTCGGCGACCTTTCTCAATGCTTATTCGACTTTGTCATCCAACTATTACCCACAGAGAGCGAAGTACAAGTCAAGGAGGATGTTCGACGATTACTGGAACGCCTTATAAGGACGATAGAACCAAGCAGTCGCTTACTATCTTTCGGGAGCACTGCGAATGGGTTCAGCCTACGAAACTCAGGTTCGTCCCTGTCACTTGTTTCGCCAGTCTCAAGTCTAGCTGATTTACAGACATGGACTTGTGCTGCTTGATCGACTCGGATGAGCGACTCTCCGCGTCTGATCTGGTCACTATGCTTGGTGACCTTCTTGAGCGTGGTGTGTACCAAGACAGGCTTCTCATGCCCCATCCTAAATTGTTCAGAAACTAAATTCCACGTCAAACCGCTACCCCATGCCCGTATTCCAATCGTCAAACTCTCTCTCGACCCTTCGCCAGGGCTTCCTCTCGGTATTGCTTGCGATATCGGCTTCGAAAATCGACTGGCCTTGGAAAACACACGGCTCCTCATGTGCTATGCTATGATTGACCCAACCCGTGTTCGGACTTTGGTCCTTTTCCGTCCGTCTTTTTACCTCTGTTTTGCCCTAGTTCATTTTCATCTACAGTCAAAGTCTGGAGTAAGCGGAGGAAAATAAACTCCCCTTACAAGGGAACCTTGTCGTCATATGGATATGTCCTCCTCGTCATCTACTTCCTCGTTCACGTCAAAAACCCTCCGGTGCTCCCCAATTTACAGCAGATGCCACCGCTACGCCCCATATCCAAGGAAGACACCCATGTTGCTGGCTACAACACGTGGTTTTTTGACGACGTTGAACTCCTCCGCACACGTTGGCATTCTGAAAACAATGACAGCGTCGCTGAATTGTAAGCACCAGCTTCTATTGAATCCTGCACAAGAGTGATGTGCCTCAAAAATAGATTGGTTGATTTCTTCCGTTACTTTGCGCGAGATTTCAGCTACAACACCGGTGTTGCCTCAATACGGGCGGGCTTCCTGAAAAAGGCTTCCAAAGGGTGGCAAAATGATGTTCGTCGTCGTTTAAGGGCACCTTACAAAAACAACTTACCCTTAATAGTTATCTTCGCGGTTCCACGACTCTCGTGAACGAAATCGGCTTTGTATTGAGGTTCGTGTGGAGATGATGCCTTATTGCACTTGATTCAAACTTGCCCAGGATCCTTTCGAGCTCGACTTTAACGTTGGACGGTGCGTTAGCAAAGATGGTATCTATACCGTAAGCCGTTCTGTTACTATTAGATGTGCTTCTGATATGTGTTAAAGATTCGTGGAGAGTTTATGAGGGCCTCCCGCATTCTAGCTAATCGGCCAGAACGGGCTGTGATTGCCCTCGCTGAATTATGCGCGGAACGTGCGGATGAAGATCTCGTGACCGCACCGAACTACGGGGTCTCACGACCTCCACCTCAAACTCCTTATACGGTTGGTAGTGGAAGTGCTAGACCAAAAGCCTCAGTCACACCAACAATCTCAGCCCCAACACCAACAACACCAAATACGTTTGATGTCAACAAGACAGGACTTCCAGCTCTGCCTACGTCTGCCCATATGGCGGCGAAACGAAGCAAGTGGACAAGCCCCCCTCCTCCCGATGCATCAGAGGATGCGCGGGAACAATTCGAAACTAATCTTGGTCAAGGACTTGAACTTGCCACCAGTTCTACTGGTGCGGCCAGGCAGCGAGACCGCGAATCTTGGTCGTCAGAGATTCATAGCGAATCAGCATCAGAGGGCACAAGCGAGGTCTTTACTGACACTGATACAAGTGTTAGTGACGCTGGCAGTGATGTCGTTTCTGTTCGCTCGTACACCGAAGGGGTTGCCGTCGGAGAAACGGGAGGACACAGTGCATGGCGTCGTCCTTCTTGGCACGTGACAAGACCCCCAATCCTTGGAGTTGAAGTTTCCCCCCTTCCAGGACTTCCTGGACGTCTCACAGGTGCCCGTGGCCGGAATCAACGAGACAGGGAGAGAACGGCAGCTGCCGTTGCCGTGATCCCGACCTGGACGATGGATCCAAGTCCTTCGAGTTCACGTCGCTCGTCATCCGGGCCCCCTCCCCCAAGAAGTGTTATCTGGAGCTCACCTTCCATTTCGACTACCCCAGTCACATCTTTCCCTCCTTTACCCCCTTCTCCAGATTCGCCACATTCCCGACATTCCCCCATTGGACCACCACCGCCACAACACTATTCTCGCTTTGACAATCAACACACTGTATTTTATCAAACTTCGCCCCATTCTAGTCCGCGGCCTAATGCATACCCCTCGACAAATGGTTCTCCGTCTTCGTGTTATCCGAACACAAGTCACTCACCGTCGTCGCGCGTTCCTCAATACCCCACATTCCTTGCCAGTAACGGGGCATCTATACCACATGACGTTTTTCCAACAAACCATCCACCATTGAGTGTAACGCCTGGTCCGCCCAGAACTTCACCGACGAATCCTCCGTCACCATCCTGGACACGTGTTGTGTCACAACACGTGCAAACACATTCGCGGTCTTCCTCATCTGTTACCAATGCGCCGACACCGAAACCTCACGCACAATCTGTATTTTCTGAGCAACAACAATCAACACGTGTACATGTACCATCATCAAGCTCGCCGCTGCAGTCCGAAACCACGATCTATGCGCCGGCTCCTACTCATACCCCATCCCCTCCGGCTCTATCAAGTAGATTTGGCCACGATCCTCATAGAGCAGCACGTGACCCACTTCCTGACATTGCATCGACTAGTCCTACGAGCTCCCCGACCCCGTCACTATCAACGGGTTATGAGACTTCCGTTTCGATGTCTCCCTCGCCTTCGCCGCCTTTAGTCGCCGAAACCGCTGCATCAACTCCCAAATCACCGGAACCTGACTCAGCAACATTCAACCTCTCTGACCACGCTCCCTGACCCCCCCACCGTTTCTGCCCAGTGGGTATGGTATATATTTGATTGATCGCACTTCGCAATGTCGTCTTCGCTGTCCTCCTGCACCTCGCGCAATATGCATATATATCATCATCTTCAGGCATTCATTATCTTACAAAGCATTACCTAGTCTACCCTTAGACATTACCGCTGCTTGCTAGACACAACAACAAGTCTGATTTACTGCGGCATGCCTGCCTCGCTGTCAGAATAAGCCGAGCTTGAACCCAGCTCAGTATATCGAGCAACCCAGAGGCGTTGGGATGGGGGGATGACCTTATCATCAACTCCATGTGGCATTCCACCATGCAAAATACCAACTCTCTTCATGGCAAGCAGCTAAAAAAAGAGTCTGAATATGCCAGGGGAACACATACTAACAAAACCTACATTGTGGGCAGCATTAGAATGGTCGTAAACGCCACCGAAAAACGCTGTTGTGGCATCCTTTCCGATATATTTCGCAACGATTGGGGCACCGCCGGGATGTTCTTCGATGAACGTGGACACGTCATGGATAAGGCCCGAAATGAGAATCAAAGGACGCTCCGCAGATAGCTTTTGGTCTGACAAACGTTCAATCGCCACCAAGGGAAGAGAGGATGCAACTTTGACTGACATGTCTCCCAGTCCACGACAGGTAGGTCGTGACCATCGCGTGGCCATACGAGTTGGTCTTGTTGCTCGCGCAAACGTTTTAATTGAATCGTGAGTTCGCCTTTGCGAATTTCATTGTCAGAAAAAGTCTGAAACATTGGTCAGGTACAGAGCTTGGGCCACTATAGAAAAAAAAACCTTGAGATGCGAAGCTAATCGCAGCTGCTTGCACACCCAGATAAACCACTAAAAGGATGTTCAGCTCGAAGAACATGTATTGGAACTTGAGGCACCTTAGTGGGGTCATACTGATACCATCGAATGGCGTTCCGGTAATCCATGGGGAACTGGTGGTGAAAGTTGTGGTATCCTTCGCCAATCGTCGCAAATGCAGTTATCAAGTGATTTCGCGGTGTATGCTTGTCGTCGTAAGGCGAGTCCCCAAGCCAGTGGGCTAGAGAATTCACACAAAATGTCGAGTGGTGTACGAATGTCAGGCGCAGAATAGCAGCATAGACATAGCCGCCTCGTAAATCACCCCACGCGAGCCAGGGAATGACGGTTGGAACCACAAAGCCCATCGTGAGAAGGAGCAAGAAATAGTATCTGTGTTGCCAGCGAACTATCGGGTCCTTGGAAAGATCGCTGACGTCTGCTGTTCCAGGACGAAGTCTGGGTTTCACAATGAGCCAGCCAATGTGGCTGTATAAAAAGCCCTGGGTGGCGTCGTAAGGATCGAGTTTTGTGTCGGTGAACCTAAAATGTTTAATATTCCGTCGAGAGGTTCAAGGCAGTTTTTGCTCACCTGTGGTGGGCACGGTGTCCTCTGGACCACCACTTAATGGACCCTTGGACCGCTCCGACACCGCCGAGCGCAAGAACAACCTTGAGGAATGGGGTAGCATTATAGCATCGATGCGCCCATAGACGATGGTAGCCCGCCGTAATTCCTGTCAAAATCTATGAGTTTTAGCGAATAGAGGCTGGGGGAAAAGCAGACCCAATCCCGTGTAAAAGTAATAGAACACAGAAAAAAGGGCTGTCTCCCATCGCAATGGGGTGTACCAGGCCCCAATTAAACCGATTGTTGGTACAGTCGTGAGGAGGATAAGATGGAACCAATAGATTTCTCCAATTAAATCGCGCCAGGTAGTAATCGGTGGGCGAAGCTTTGTGTTTTTGATCTTGTGGGCGACATAACTCTCGACTTCTGGTTCGAGCAGGCCAGGTAAACCCGTTTTCGGCGAAACGGAAGACATTGGTGAGTGGGTGGATTCCAAGTCGTCCACACGTCAGTATTTAAATCGTCGCATTTTTTCGTTGGGGATGAGCTTGTTGGGGTATATTTCCGGTTGATCCTATTCCGGGCGGCCGAGAACTGCGGTCTAGACATTTGCACATGATTGATTTTCTGTTTTGCGCACAGTCTCATGCAAGTCTCATGCCGTCGACTTGTTGGCTCCGGCCAATGGCGGTCATGACCACACATTCTCTTCAATTTCACGAGACATCAACTCAGAGTAAGTACTTAGCTCTCGTTGGCTGAGAGTCCTGGCCAGAGTTATAATTGGCCCGGTCCAGGCTGGTGTCGTTGAAGTTGGCACAAATTGGGACAGTGGTCCAGAACAAAGCCATATTCAAAACACGCGTGTGTCACAACAACAGTGTGTGTATTCCGAGCTTCAGATAATTGCGTAAGCTACGATTCTACTAAGATAAGATCAAACCTGAGATAAGATAAGGTGGAACAGGAACCTTTGCTGTAGAGGTACTCTTTTAGTTTCTTCAGTGCCTTGTAGCGGTGAGAAAGCTGATTTTTTTGGTCGGCAGGCATTTCAGCGTAACTTGAAAAACCATTAGCCTCATTCGAACAAGTTCAAAACTCAATGAAAAACGCACGTCAGGCTGGCTCCATTTGGTTGAAAGACAGCATCCCAACCAAAGACCCCCGGCCCACGTGCAGCAACAATCGAGCCATCTGTACGGCCTTCAAACAGTATAGGCTCTGAATCTATGGCATAATAAGCAGCCACGATCGGAGGATTACAGAAGACATATGTTGACCGGGTCCATCTGAGTAGGCAAATGTACAAAGAGCCCAGGCCGCGCGAGTGGGGAAGCCATCAAGCATCCTATTCAACCCTTCGTGTCCAAGATCGGCCAGAAAATACTTGATATAAGGCCCAGGGAGCCCATTCATAGCTTCGAAGCAGAGTGCCGTGTCTTCAGTAATACATGGGCCACCGAGCTACTAGCAAACATGATTAAGTAAAGTTCAAGTTGGGAGAAAGCAATTGACAAGCTCAGCTGCGCGTCGACATTTGGCAATAGCGACTTCCTGGGTAGTTCCTTGGATTTCCGGTACTGGCATATAGCATTAGAGGTCCCTAGAATGGCGAAGGCGATGACTTGCTATCGAGAGCGCGCGATTCGATCACAATCGGGCTACTGTCTTGAGACAAGATGGCCTTGACCTCTTTTAGTTTGTTCGCATTTCCTGTCACAAATACTGCAGGCGCTTGAATATAGAGTCGGGTTACTGTGCCACTGGCAGTGGACTGACTAACTCAAAGTTGGTGCCATGATGAATGCGGATGAGTCAGAAACTTGACTGATCGAATCACTGATATCGGATTTCGCACGCTTGCTTTAAAACTCCTCTTCAACTTGAACGGCCAGCTCGAAACTATATCATCCATTCAATTAGGTCTCAGTGAATAGGCTCCTTGGCTTACAGCCTTGGTAGGCACCGGAAAATCGGGACTTCCGATTTGCGTCGAATTTGAACGGCCCGCCCTATCAACAGCTTTACAGCCTCAGCACATGTGATGTCAAGAACTGTGAAGTTGAATGAACAGATTTCCGCGTTCAATGATCAATACCGCTATGAACCACATCTACTAGGGTTCGAGACAGACCGCTACTGGTGTGCTCGACAGGTAGGACAACGAATAACTACGCACTGGGCTGAAGAATCGCATCACGCGCACTGCAATTATTGTTGTCGGCGCGCGCGAATTCAGATTCTACTAGTATGAAACCTGAAGAAAATGTTAAAACGGAAGCTCGGCGTCCATTTTCCACCATGCATAGCGGCAAGCCCTAACAGGTCGACCAACGCTATGTAGTGCCTTTGACTTTGACTTTCCAATTCGAAGTTTTTTACCAACTTGGGAGGTTGGCGGTGTTGCCCAGTCACGATCACACGATCTTCGATCAGCAGTGACACCCACGAAGAACTTTCTCGTCCACACACACCGCCACAACTCCTGTGTGTATAAAAGCCTGCGACAAAGGCTCTGACTTGTCCACACCATGCCATCCTTCTTGAGCGCTTTCTTCTTTGGTCACCGTCGCAGCCGCTCTGCAGATACTCGGCGTCTTTCTCGAGAACCTCCTCCGTCTTACAATGACTCTCTGGCTGTCCCTGACGCCTCTCTCAAGCGTTCAACATCCAGTCGAGAAAGCAAATACGATAATCCACAATGTTTGTTTGCCATGCGCACCTATTTCTCTTGTGGTCTGACGCGTTAAAAGGGTTAAGACAACCAATGCGGCAGAGCACATTGGAGGATGCGCTCGAGCTTCTTGTCAAGTATGATACTGTTATCCTTGTGGATGACTCCGGCTCGATGCAACTGTCCTCTTCTCATGGCAAAACTCGTTGGCAAGAGGTAGCAAAAAGAGTCATTACAGTGGCACGCCTCAAATAATTCTCTCCTAGGCTGGAGATGCTCTTGCGCAGCTCGCCACCACCGCTGCACAGTATGATGCGGACGGCATTGACATCCATTTCCTAAATCATGTTCATATGCAGAACAGCTCGCAACATTTGAGGGTCTGTTTTATTTATTGCTGGTCTCTTAGTAACAATTGTCTCCAGACTGCAGAGGCGGTCAGACGGGTATTCAACGAAGTTTCGCCCCGTGGACCCACCCCCACCGGAGATCGCCTTGATCAACTGCTAAAGCCATATATATCGATGCTCGAAGAAGCCAAAATCGACGCTGATGGCACGCCACGAAACCGCCAAACAAATGAGAAAATTAAACGGGTCAACTTCATTGTCATAACGGATGGGCAGCCCAGTACGTTTCTTCGAGCACTTCGTTCCTTTCATTGATTTGGCGCACTAAGCCGACGAGCCTTCGGAGGTCATTGTGCATGCAGCAAAGCGTTTTGGCGCCATTCGTAATATCTGTCCAATTCAGGTCGGCATCCAATTCGTGCAAATCGGAGACGACCCCAACGCGACAGCGGCACTCAGTCGGTTAGATGACGACCTCGCGCAGGAGAACGGGATTCCTGTAGGTCACATGCTCTGAAGCTCCTTTCAGCGTACACTGAGTTTTGGATTAGGATATCGTTGACACAACACCCTATACGAAACTGCATCCAATCACAGCAGATGGTATCATAAAGTGTCTGATTGGAGGAATTAACCGTAGAGTGGACAAACAACGTGCGCATCGATAACACATTATCTTACTTGTTTAGAGCCTTGTATTTTTTAGCATGGAATTCAACTGCGGTAAGCACTGAGCAAATGCCCAAATGGATCGGAGAACATCTTTCTCGGTTGGCCTAACAAAATGCCCAATTTAGAGCCAGAATCGACATCACGAGCCTGAAAAACCATGAGCGGTACCCGTATCTCAAAACCCGCTTACCAAAGTGAGAAGCTGTTTGACTTTTCGTCGTTCTTCCTTGCCCTTTGACCGCTTGGCGCATCTCCCGTCACGGCTGCATAGTCGAACAACAACCTCGACACACCGGGCTCGAGTGCGACCACAAGGGTATGGGTCGTCCAGGTGAGATTCTGGATATTGTACAGTGTAAAATTGTACGCCTCTATGTTTGGCTGGTTGTAGGCAAAGTGGTTTTCCGCGGCGCGGCCGTCAAGGGAGATCGAAGTGTTGTAGATGTCGCCGTAGTCTATGGCCACGCAGAGTGTTATTCCCGTGCCTTGAACACAAGTTAGGCGAGATGCATGAATGGTCGGGTGCAAAAGTGGTACTTACCGTTGAAAGGAATTGTGAGACTGCAGTGGTCAGAAGTCGAGCATTGGGTATCTTGTGAGATAGTATCACTTCAAGGACAAAACATCGCAGGAGAACACACACAAGACCTGCATAGAAGTTGGGAAATGTGTCGAAGAAGAAGAACCTCTTGCACTCACGCAGTCCCACCAAAGCATTTTTTCTCGTCAACAGCTACAGCCAGTCCATTCGACCCTTCTCGCGAATACTTGAGCCACTTGGTGTTGTATCCTATCCCAGCGCTCGAGTTGTAAGTGATGCTTGGGTCTTGGTCGTCGATGTAGTACACAGCCAACGCGCACTGAATAGAGGCGAGCAGGGGAAGGACGCTCCCAAAACGCATCAGACAGACTGCAAGTGAAGGGAGAAGGCTCGCTTAGCCAACGCCGCCCGAACTTGATTCTCCTCTTCCACCTTCAACTGTCTTTTCTGGGTTGCTGGATGTTGTTGTTGACTTGGCACTGACAGCAAACGACCGCGAATGCGATACAGTAGGTTGGCTAGTCTCGCTCGCAATCCTTTCTTCTGACCCGTGAAGACAGTCGTTCACTAGGTTGACCTAGTGGCTGAATCGAATAGGGCTCCCAGTCAGTGGGTAACGACACATCCCCTGCCTCCATTCCATCAACCTGCAAGTATGCCGCGAGTGATCATCGCACCATCTTCAAGCGTGCTCGAATGAGGAAACAGATCGGTGCAGATGTGGTGCGCGGTCACATGCTGGCCCACGTCAGGTTGGGGTAACTCGTCAATTACTCCAAAATTACCGTGAATCCACGTAGTCTGCGTCATCAGCTCCATCTAGTACAATTCCAACCGCATAAATACTGCCTGCTCGATTTCAAGCAACATCAAACAGTACAATGCCTCTTTTCTCCAACAACAACAACAACAACCCAAACAAGGCAAGGCCTCATCCGACAACGTCGAGACCGCTGTTAACCCTGTGCATAGCTCGAGAAGCGCGCTGGCGCTGGTGAACTCACAAGTTCAGACTATGCGACCACAGGAACTGGCCACCACACGACTGGCCACCACACGACTCGAATGGCTGGCATGAACGATGACCCATACCTTGGCCGCGATACGGCTGGAATGGGCCAAACAGACATGATGGTATATCTTACATAATGCTTCCTCGCTGCGTTTACTCAATCATCTTAGCCTGGTGGCGGAAGACATCATCAGGGTTATGCAGCTGCTGAGCCTGCTTACGGCGCAGCGGGTGGCCAACATATACCTCCAACACATGCGGTAAATGCTGGTACCGGCACAGGCTCCGGTGGCGGATCAATGACCGGCAAGATTGAACACGCTGTCGGCTCCATCGTGGGTAGCAAATCGCTGAAAGCCAAGGGTCTCCAGAAAGAGGAGTACGTTGTTGTAACCCACCAGTACAATTTTGACTGACATTTTTTGGGAAAAGGGAAGCTCGTGCCCTCAAAGTGCAGTCTTCTGAGCTCGCTGAAGCCGAGCGTCTCGAACGGGAGGCCCAAATGCGACGAGACCGGGCAGTTGCCCATGGCGCACATCCCGAAAACCGGCACCTTGGTGGAAACGGTGGGCCCGGAATGTATGATTAAGTAAACTGAAGGCTCCTGGACTCGAGACTATTAATAATGTAATACCAACCTTTGACGATGTCGATTTAATTGGCCGACTCGGACAAACATGAGGTTTTCTTCCGCGCGGTCGTCGCCTGGCCACCACGTTTTGCGCCTCGAGTTGTCCATGCATGCTGTTGCTCGCCAAAAGTTGTGCCCTCGTTCTTTGGCGTCTTAGCACTCGAAGCTATCTTGAGCAACAGATAAACCCAGTCTGCTGTACTCTCTAGATCTCAGAGTCATGATGTCAAGAGCCAAGATCATATCATGATAATGTAAGTGCGACTACTCGAGGATAAAATCCCGAGTTTGATTTCCGCCCACGATGATAGGGCAGACTCAACTTCAAACTGGAAGTTGGCAATGATTCGGGGGGGAAGGAGTATTAGTGTACTTATGACCGCAACGAATCAGAGCACTTACAAGCCCGCATTGTTCTCGTAGCATCTCGGCCCTTGTTGCCAAACAAAGAAACATCGGACATGACTGCGTGTGACACTTGTCGTATAAAAGGAAGACGGTCAGTCAGTGGCACCGCATCTCCACATCACCACCCACTCAAACCCGTCGGCCGCTGCTATAAAGGCGACCGCGACACAACCATCTTGTCTCTTCCGTCCCCCATCCATTTCGTAATATGCCTTCCCGAACAACCAGTGGCTCAAGCTCGTCCAAGGGCAAACTCCGCCGCCGCGCTGCTGTAGCTTCGCGACCCGCGTTTCCCGAAGACCTTGACACCGATGCCGATGAGAATAATTCGTCCTTTGGCCCAGTCCATTTGGACGAACCCAGAGCTTACACTTTCAAAGTAAGTGCGCCCGTCCTTTGTTCAAGAATCACAAATGACATTCTCATCTGATGCTTTCTCCTAGCCTAATGAGCGTGTTTGGATTAGAAATCACGACAAGTGGATCGCGGGCCGCATCTTCCCGAGCTCAGTCCCTAAGATTCGCTCCTCTGATGTAAGCATTGGTTTGCTTGCCAGACTGGAACCTGAGGCGATGCAGAACCTCGTCTACTGGGACGTCAAATACAGCGATAGCTACGGACACAAGCTCAGGAGATGTTTCGCTCCTTTGCTTGGTGACCTGAAGCCAGACAACGCCCGCGTTCGCCGATTATTGCGCGAGGCTCATTGGATTTAGTCAGCGGTTAGCAGTCTCCACGCACAGCTTGCTGGACTATCTATAGCCCAACGCCATATTCATCAGGAAAGATGGCCTGTTGATTTAGAGTCGTACATCAACGGAAGGGAGGATCTTCCTCGGGATAAGGGCGACTGGTATCGACATGGATTCTGTGACTCGCATATATAGTACACACCTCGTGTAAATGTTACCCCAGAACCCCGTTTAGCCGTTTTCTCCAGCCCAAGCCGTCTTGGTCCAACAACCGGATGCCAGCGTCAAGTAGCAGCTCTGCTGTATCGACCCACATGCTCTTGGCTATTTCGTGTCTAGATTCCGATTCATCAGAATTGAATGAGAATGCGTCGAACAAAGGGATCGACCAACTCGTTTGTAGGCCATTTTACGCATGGTAACCAGATCTCGCGCAGGTTCGGAAAAAGACTGAGATCACATGCTTCCAAAAACTCTGTCCACTGGCGTTCCATCGTTCGCCATTGCCGATGACCATCGGCGCCAAGCCGGAATGACACCTTCTCAAGTGCGAGATTCGTTTTCGTGGTTGACTTGAAGATGTTTGGTCGAGAAACCTAACAAAAAGCGTAAGAAATAAAGGAAGTTGGAGAGTAGAAGCACGAACATCTCCCCAACAACTTATCTCTACATGAGCCATTTTGTCACATAGTTCAAAGACTTTGAGCCATTTCACTGGCGCGACAGCGTCTTGTTCTAGAAAGCTAGATGGGACGCTGAGCCATTCGAGCTTTCCTGGTCCATGACGACCCAGGAAACGTTTGATCGCGATGTATAGTTTGTCCGTCGATTGGACGGATGAAATCTGGTTGTTTGAGGCAACAAACGTGAATGCAGCCCGTCTAAGTGCAGGAAGGCTTAAGCACATATCAGTCGATGTGCCATATTCCCCACAACGCCGACTTACTTCATCCCCGCAAATACTCGTATCAACGATTCAGTCCCAGGATGATGACATCCCAGTTCCAAACGTCTTAAGTTGGCAAGAGCGTCAAACGGTATTTCCTGCGACGTGGCTTGCCAGAAGACCCGGTTATCCAGCCTTATTACGCTGAGTGCCTTGAATGATCCCCAAACAGCGGGACTCTCCTTCCCATGATCTCGGGTCAGTAAAAGTCCTTCGATGCGAGCAAGGGAGTGACCAGAGTGCTGTGCGAAGCTATTGAAGAGGCGAGCAGATAGCGAGAACGGTTCAAGACCGATAAGAGATAACAAATTAAGCGAACAAGTCGAGGGTTGTGCCTCAAAAAGTTGATCTAGACTGACAGTCCAAGCTGTATCGGGAAGCTCAAAATAAAGAGCTCTGAGTGCAGGACGAATGCAAGGGTCGCGTTCGAGGCGTCGGAGGAAGTCCATCATGGCGAAACTGCCGCGCAAAACCATTGTGGAGTGGAGATGCGGTTGAGCAAGACGCTGTAGAAGATTAGTGTCCGTTGACATCACACTGCAGATCACAAACTTCAAACCGCTTACAGACGGTGACCAGTCCGAGGTATGGTTTCCTTTCAAGTGGCTGAGGTTTGTTCGGGTCAAGAGAGAGTGCATAGAACAGAACGCGATTCCAAATGTGGTCAGGGACACCGGATGTAGAGAATCTCAATGTCACTGTGTCGAAGAGCGTGGTGGAGGCCATTCTGGGCCACTCTTCAGTGGATGAAATTGCAGTAATTGGCCATGGTTGTTTACCTCTGACTAGGAAGTTCGACCAATCTTGCTAGCACAGGGCTTTGCGTTATGGCTTCGAAACTTATAATCAGCCTGTTATCCCATTCTCTGGGGGGGCGCATAAAAATGCGTTGCAATGTTGGACTCTGAGCCATGACACCGAGATGTTCTGCCACCTGCCCATGAAGGAAAATAGGCGTAAAGGGTATAACAATTGTCCTGATATTTGAAGAAAGACTGAGCGGCGGGGAGAAATCAATCATAAGCGACCATTGGGACGCACACGCATCAGGAAATTCGAACACTGTCTGGGCGTGCCTGTTAGTTGGGGTACCATAGACTTGACCAAATAACTGACCAGGTTCTGCCACATTCTAATACAGTGTTTGAGCTTCTGCCGCAATACTTCGCCGTCATTTGTACGCGGGCCATGGTTGGGAGTATCGAAGAGAATGACGCGTCGAGGATTCAGGTCGGCAAGCACAAGACATAGACCCGTAGAGTCGTCTCCAGGCCACAAGTTCACGGCGACGAAGAGATCGCTGATATTGGGGGCTGCTTGTAAAATAGTCCGAATTGCGGTCCCGTAAGCTCCTTCTAATCGGAGCTTACGAATATAACGCCCAAAGAGGCCGTTCACACGCTTTAATGTCCATTCCAGGGCGGCGGCCTGAGCCCTCGAGCGTAAAATGACGGTTTGGTATAGGTTCGGAGTGCCTACATACAGGCGTTGACGTCAAAAGATCTGGAAAGACAGAAACTTGATTACCTACACGGTACCAGGCTTTACAAACGGAGAGATATATGCTGCTAGATGTTCTGTACTTGGCAAAAGGAGACTCGACAGAAGTATCAGCAAAGGTTTTGTCTGGAATCTCAAGCGCTGGTATGAGTATTTGCGATATGATTTCGTCGGGGAGGTGGATGGGATTCATTCTACAAACAGTTGACTCAATAGGTGATCCCTTTGGCCCAGGCACGCGCACTTTATGTGCATGAGAGCATTTGGTGAATGGTTGTTGAGCCCAAGTTTCGCCAAGTCACGAGATCGAAATGGAGTCATACCAGCTTCTACATCTTCCTCCCGAGTTATCCCACATCCACATCGCTCTGTATACTAATGTTTCAAATTCTGCTGTCTTGAAAAAGCGCCTCATCGCTGCCGCATCAGCCGAGGGCGAGGAAGGAGAGCGTGAACGCGACGCCGTTAATTTTGCTTTCATCGATGCGCGATTGGTGAGTATGGCTTAAGCTTGGTGACTTTAGTGCTGACTGGCCCGTAAGGACAGATAACTAGTCTTCGATTGCTCAAGACCGCCATTTATAGTGCAACTTTGGCTGCCTCGCAAGAGAGGCTGCTCACTAAAACGGTCCATTCCGAGATTCTATGGACGCTCAATCCAACAAACAACGTGCGCATTCTGCCTGAAAGGAGACTCTTCTAAACGCCAACCAGATTTCCGAAGCAATTCGTCGTTATGGCGTGTCTGAAACAAGCACTTCGCTAGTCCTAGTCCGCGTTGCTGGGCCCGAACTGTCTCGTTCAGAACTGCAACTAGCAATGGGTGCATCAATAGAAGGCACGGTAATACCGTTGGAAAGGCTCGGTAGTCTGACAGACTGGACCGCAGTGAAGAAGGTCAGTTTTTACTATAGCCTATGCAATCTTACTCAAAACAACAGTATCACAAATTGGGTAACGAGACAGCTTTGCGAGGTGCGACGGGACTCGAAGAGAGGGAGCACATAATCATCGACGAGATAGTGATTAGTTCAGCAGCCATGAAGAGTGTACAAGCATGAAAGAAACGTTGGATTGAGAGCAAGGAAGATAGCTACTAGTAATACATGATCCAGCACAATTCTCTTCATGCGAGTCCGCCAAATACGATTAGTTTGGTGTTCATGTACTCGTCGATTCCATGGCCACCTTCACGGCCCAAACCGCTCTCTTTTATGCCACCGAACGGTATGACCGCTTGCGAGAGGAGCCCAGTATTGACGCCAACCACTGCAGAAACAAATTATTATTATCCAAGACGAATGAGCTGGTGTCACACTTACTTCCAACCTCCAACTTCTCTGCGACCCGCCATACTCTGCCGATGTCTCTTGAGAAAAAATAACCAGCCAAACCGACATCTGTATCATTGGCCAACTTAATGACCTCTTCCTCGGATTCAAACTTGGTTAATGCCGCAAGTGGACCAAATGTTTCCTCGTTGTTCAAACGCGCATTGGCAGGAACATCTGACAAGATTGTAGGATTGAAGAAAGAGGTGCCTTCGACAGTAGTGCCGCCAACAAGAACCTGTGCGCCTAACGAGACAGCATCTGCAATATGAGCCTGTACTTTTTCAGCAGCGCGATCATGAATCAGAGGACCATGTGTTCTGTAGAATTACGGTCACTTTCCAATCCAATAACCAAACAAAGCCGCGAATCCCTACGTAGATTCATCAAGTCCATTCCCAATCTTGAACTGAGAAACCTTCTCTGCCAGACGAGACGCGAACTCGGCATAAACAGCCGACTGCACATAGATACGGTTGGCACAAACGCATGTTTGACCCGTCCCCCGGAATTTACATAGAATGGCCGCTACCCACCGGTTTAATAATTGATTCCATTGCACGAGACAGACAAAGAGCATACCTGATACGGCTTGGTCCATGTCTGCGTCATTGAAAACGATGAAAGGCGCATTGCCACCAGCTTCAATCGACACCCTGACACAACGAATGAGACCAAGGAGAGTTCGGAAGAGAACTAACTTCTTCAATGTGGAGGCCGACATACCCGCCAAAAGTTTGGCAACAGCAGTTGAACCAGTAAATGACACTTTCTTGACGATTTTGCTTTCGCACATCTCTTTTCCTACTTCTCCAACATTCTTTTGCGTCGTGACAACGTTGATAACACCATCAGGAACGCCAGCACGACGAGCCAGCTAGAGCATACATCAAGAAGAGAGGTTTGGGTGTCTCAAGTTGCTTGCCTCGACGAGAGCCAAACAGGAAAACGGCGTTTCTGGTGGAGGTTTTATCACGGCGGTACATCCAGCTGCCAACGCAGCACCGAGTTTGCGCGTGATCATGGCGGAAGGGAAATTCCATGGTGTTAAAATCGACCTGTGCCATTTGTGAGATTCAAAAAGCTAGAGAACAACAAAGCTCACACAACACCTTCAAGTTGGAGGAGTTTAACGTTGATAAGCTACTAGGGCATATACGCACCAACAGGCTGTTTGATAACGACGTTGCGAACGCCAGGAAGTGGGGAGGGAATTTGTTCTCCATATGTGCGAACTGCTTCCTCAGCTGCAGGAGAGAAGTCAGTACGCAGCAAGAAAATGGAAGCCATCCAGCCTACCAAACCACTGTCTCGTCGTTGAATTGGCAAGCTGCGAGCTCGAGGGAGTCTCTCACCTCGATGAAAGAAGCGCTATACGTGTTTTCGCCCTGTGGGTTAATGAGGGTGTAAACGGTCCATCACTTCTGCACGCACCTTGCCTTCAGCGAGAATCTTCCCATTCTCGAGCGTCTAACTGGCGTAAAACTGCCGAAGTCACGCAAAAGCAAGTTGGCGCACAATAATACGACTAAGATCGTCATGGTGGTGGTTCATAAGCGCAAACAGCTTCATGAGTGTATCATGTCGGTGCTGAATGTAAATATGTCAATCCTTTGACTGAGGAAAGTAGCTTCATTTTGCCTTCGCAGTCGTTGCACTCCACGAGGGAAAAGCTTTGGCTGCTGCATCGATAGCCTGCTTTGTTTCTGCTAGCCCCATCTCAGGGACGGTTCCTAAAACCTCGCGGGTTGCGGGATCTATCTACAGTTGGTTGAAACAAAAGAGTGGGTAGTCAACACACTCGTCACAGAAATGGTCTCTCCGCTGTTTGCATCGAGCCATTTGCCATCGATGAACGCTTGCTGCTTGATTAAACTCGAGTCTTTCAAGCCAAACTGTGCTCGTTAAGTGGGTACTTCGAGGAATATTGAGGGACGGACTACAGACGCCTGCGAGCTAGCCATTCTTGCAAGTCGGACTGAAAGTGGTTGGGGGAAAAGGGAGCCAGAAAGCCGGAAGATGAGTGTTCTCATCGCCCAAATTGATGACGTCCAATTGCAAGCCCAGTCCGCGTGACCGCTTTCGGCTTTCCTCTACTCCGCGACACCACGACACTACTTACAGGTGTTACATATGTCCGCGTACAACAGAAGAATAATTTTACAAAAACCATCGTTCTGCATCCAAAAACCGAACCCCCCCAGTCCTCCTCAGGGCTTCCCAGTCGCTTGAGCTCCATACCTGGCTCATCCAAATTGCTTTCTCATCTTCCATCAGGATAGCCCCGCTCCCGCGCAGAGGGCGTTGTTTGTTTGAGGTCATCATTGGAATAACTGCCACCACAGATGCTTTGTGCTTGTCTTTCGCTGCTTTTGCGCCAGTCCAGTCCAACTCAGATAACCGGGCCATGCGCCAACTTGACTGTATAGCATATTCTGCTCCAGGGGGGCATGGCATTAGAGCTCGAAGTGGATAGGAACAACGCCAACGGATGTCCGCCGCGATCCCAGAGGTATCGGCGTGATAGGCAAGTATAGCTCGTCGAAAATGAAGGGCAGTGTGGGAAATAGGGGACCTGCGCAACACTGAGATGGGGAGTGGTGGAACTGCGATGGATGCAACGGCGTTGTTGATATATGGGGTGGACAGACTTTTTTAGCTCGTCTCCGAATTCTGGGCTTGAGAAGAAGGATATGTCGCGCAAGTTCACAGGTAGGTGGACATGCAGACGGGTCAAGTCAAACCGATGATTATAGCTTGTCTGCGTTGATGTCAGTCTTCATAATTTGAAAATGCACCACTAAACGTTACCTTGTACCACCAAGCAAGCATCACATCTGAGCTGCCTACCCACTCTTCTGAAGCGTGTGCGGCCAATTGATCTAAGATTTCCTTCTTCATCCGTTCCAGGAAAATTTTGGGCACTCTGACAAGTTTCACCTCCTCCTTAGGCTCGCGCCAGAGCCTCCATAGAAAATTTACCAAAAACAAGCAAGTGCTGAAGAGCCCTAACTTGTACCACCCACGCATATGGGGTATATTGGTCTCATTCGTCGTTGTTAGCGTTAGTGGCTCGAAGGGCTGTAAATCTCTCGGCATTCCCGGTATATCCTCGAGCGCTTCGCCATCCAGAAGGCGCGTCCAAGCCCGTAGAAGTTGACCAGTTCCTACAGCATCAAGTAGAATGTGCGTGGAAGTGACACCAAGGAAAGTGAGGTCATCAAAGGTCGACACGTGGACTTGAAGCAGAGGCGTGTTTGGGGCCAAGTAACCGTCCGTTGTTTTTGGGCAGTTCGGTGAGCGAAGAAAGCTGTCCAGGATCGGCAGGTCACAAACAAAAGGCTCTAGTGAGGAAGATCGCCTGATGTGTTCGATATGGGGACGGCTCGAGCTTGCATAAAGCTCTGCATAGTCATGCGATGTGAACGCTATCGGTGGCGTAGTTTCGTCGAATTGGTGCGGTACATGGAACTCCCAGACCTGCAGAATGTTCATCAACCGAGCCAGAAGAGGGAAAGCACCCACTTGATTTCTGAACGCAAGCCTTGCTCCTGCCCTCGGAAATTTGTGTTCGACTAATGAGGCTAGTGTTGTTTGGAGCTTGTTTGGATCTAGCTTGCAGTCAACAATCAAGCCTGTGGTGACGACCATTCGTCGCGCAGCAAGATCGATGCCGGTGCAAGGAATAACATCCGCGTTTTCTGGAGGAGGAGTGGGAGGCGCCTTGGAGAATAAAGTCAACATGGAGGTGGGAAGCAGCGAGGAATTGACTCATCAATGATGGTTGGCTCTCATAGCTCACAGTCCGATGCAACCACAACCTGCACGCATTCTAAGATTCCAAGAGACTCTGGGTAGCAAGCTAACACAAGTCATAGCATTGCCTTGTCAGGGCGACCGGTAGTGCTTGGTACTGACTGCTCAGTGCTACCAGTGCAGCGTTATTCACGTGATCGTGTTTGTTCACTGGCAGACGGAGACAGGCTGAGGAAGACCTTCAGTCAATTCCCAATACCGAAAGTACATGCCGATAGAATACAGAATTATGCAAAGAGATAGATACGAAATACAAGCCCATCGTCTACTTTGATGGCTGCGAGGCGGAGAACTTGGTCACTGATTTGGTCTAGAGAATAGCGTCGGTCAAGCGAAAGTGAGAGGAAGCGGAGGACGTACACCCTCGCTTATAGCGTGCTTAGCAAGTTCACCAGGCAGAATGAGGCGGACGGAAGTTTGGATTTCTCGCGAAGAGATTGTCGACTTTTTCGAATATTGCGCGAGTTCTACCAATTGGAGTCAAAACAGGGGACGGAAGAAAACACAGGAAACCCACTGGAAGCCTCGGTGGCAATCCGTTCAAAGATGTCGTTGACAAACGAGTTCAGGATGGCCATGGCCTTGTTCGAGATACCCGTGTCGGGGTGGACCTGCTTGAGGACTGGGTCGCAGGTCAGAAAACGAGTGTGGAGTTGCATGCCAAACGCACCCTTGTAGATGTACGAAGAGTAAGTCTCTTTACGAGTCTTCTTGCGTTTCTTCTTCTCGCCATCAGCAGGCGCGGCTGCCCTCGCAGTCTTCTTGCCAGCCTTCTTCTCCGTTGTCTTTGAAGGCGCTTTCGAGGCAGTGGCTGGGGCCTTGGAGGCAGTGGAAGCCGGGGCTTTGCCAGCAGTCGATGCGGGTTTAGGTGCCATGAGTGACGATGATGGAGGTCGAGTGCAAAAAGTGTTGAAAGCCCGCCATCAGCGTGTTGCGGCTTCTTATACCAACGCGTGACGATGGTCTTGTTTGGTTCTGTCAACAAACGCGTCGCGTTCTTGTGGATCATATCATCAACACCGAAAAGATATAAAGGTCCGCCAACACGGTCACACTCCCTCAACTCTTTTCGACTCCACCACCAACCACCACCACCCTCCCAATCACAACACAATGTCGGGCAAAGTTAGCGGCAAATCCAAGTCGGGAAAAGCAGCAGGCGGCGGAGGCGATGGAAAAGCCCAGTCCCGTTCATCGAAAGCCGGTCTCCAATTCCCAGTCGGTCGTATCCACCGTCTCCTGAAGAAGGGCAATTACGCTCAGCGTGTTGGTGCTGGGGCACCAGGTGTGTGCAACCGCTCAGCTTTTTTCTTCCCATATTCAAATGCCACCTCCCCAGTCTACCTTGCTGCTGTTCTTGAATACCTAGCTGCCGAGATTCTCGAGCTTGCTGGGAATGCGGCCCGCGACAACAAGAAACATCGTATTGTTCCCCGTCATCTGCAACTCGCCATCCGCAACGATGAGGAGTTGGGCAAACTGCTTGGCTCGGTCGTCATCTCGCAAGGTGGTGTCGTACCCCACATCGGTGTGTAATCTCCTCTGCGTTTTATGTCTAGTTCCCTTACTTTCCTTCCTAGACGCTGCTCTCTTACCAACGAGTACGGGCAAGAAGGGCAAGGCCTCACAGGAGGCTTAGATTCACTTTCCGTATCTTTTATTCTGTACCACTTGTACTGTAACACCAGCATCACTATACTACCAGCAGCTCCGTACGCGTGATCTCAAGATACCTGTCCAAGTCGCGTCCCAATAATTGAGTGACAAAGTGTAGTTTCCAGTTCGGTCCCTCTCTCATGATTGGAGAAGTTGTCAATGCTACGAAAAGGGAAGACCATACGAGGGCCACAGAATATGGTCAAGTTAGCTGCAGCAGGTCAGATGTATTTGTTTATGTACAGTATTCATGGCTAATGACTCCGCCCCACCACCAACGTTCTTATTGGGCGAAGGCAAGCTCTTTTGCAGCAGCCAGAGTAACATAGACGGTGTCAGTGATGACAAAGATGTCAGTCACAGAAGCGTCACACCATCAGAGTTGCTCTTGAACAACCACTCAATCGAGTCCCAAAGCCTTCTCCCATCCCTCGGAAACCCCTTCCTTGCCCCATCGTTCATTGTCGCCACCCACGCCCCAACATGGTACTATATGGTAGTCGTCATCACATGTTAACATCTCATAGCTTTTGGACAGGCATTCGCACCCACTACCATGCGCCGACTCATGAGGGAAATAACTCAACTCAAAACTGCTCCACCTGAAGGGATTCGTGTCCAAACAAGTGAAGATAACATGTTTGACCTGACCGGTATCATCGAGGGCCCAGGCACGTCGTCTTCACGCGTATCTAAAACGCTGTTTGACCAGATGCAGAGAGTACGCCTTATGCTGGAGGGTACTTCAGAATCAAGTTCAACTTCACCGAGGAGTTTCCTGCTGCTCCTCCGAAATGTGTGTGAAAGTCACTGATGCCTCAACATGTCTAAACTCTTTCTAGGTCGCTTCATTACCAAGATATTTCATCCTAACGTATCTGGCGCTGGTGAGATTTGCGTCAATACCCTGAAGAAGGACTGGAAGCCAACGTACGGAATCGAGCACATATTAGTCACTGTCAAGTGTCTCCTCATCTACCCCAACCCGGAATCTGCCCTCGACGAAGAGGCAGGCAAGCTTCTGCTCGAAGACTACGACAGTTATTGCAGTCGTGCGAAACTCATTACAAGCGTCCATGCCACCCCACGCGTTCGTCCTATCGAATTTGACACTCCTTCATCAGAGTCCACGACGATGAACTCTTCGCCTTCAAAGCCACTCAATATATCTACCCGTGCCAAGCCCGTCTCTTCCAGCGGTGCCCCACCCCCGCACGCCCTCCCTCTTAAATCTACACCAAACTCGAGTGAAAATGACGGTGCTGTCTCGCTTCCCGCTAGCAAAGACAAAGATCCTCGTCATAATTCACCCGCTCCTGCTCCCCTCAGCACTGCAGACTCGAATGTTGTCATGGCCGGGAATGGTCTTGTACCTCCTGCGACTGCTGTTCGGGGAGACAAGAATACGACGACGAAAACCGTCACTGGGAAACGTGCGGCGACCAGTCTCGTTTCGAACGGCGCAGAGAAGCGGAAGAAGGCGCTCAAGAGGTTGTGAACTGCTTTCACTCGATATGTTGTATTTAATTCCAAGTTTCCCTTGTTATACTAGTTGTGTATCCTCTATCATCCATTCTTTTTTTCTCGCGCTACCCACCTGTTTTTACTTACGGATACCGAGTTAACTGTTAATCCTGAACGGAAAAAGAATGAATTGGTCAGATAGTTGGGAATGAGTGAATGTACAATATAGGTGCCCAAATCAACCCCGCACAACCCCAACGGTCACCTCTGCTTCCCTGCCTAACTGGCTCCCGCCAAGCGCTGCAGTCACCCTATCCCTCACCCACTTGGTCAACATGAAAACATCATCATCTGGCAAGGTCGCTGCCACGTGAAGCTCCATCGTCACCACGAACTCGTCGATTTTATTGGAGGAAGCGGCCAGTTGCCAGATATGGGGGGCGGGCAGGTGAAGGACTTGTGGATGTCGCTCAATGTCGCGCATAGTTCGCAGGAAAGTCTCCATTTTGCCGCCAGGAAGCCCCCGTCTTGGCGCGGTCTGCAGCAAGATGGTCCCGAGCACGGTGCAAGCATGATATGCCGCATTAAAAGTGGCAGCACTCGTCGCTCCGGCCAACCCGAGATCGAATGGTCGGTGTTGTGTGGTGGGTAAGATGGTAGTAACTATAAGGATACCCAGGTTAAGTGCCAGAGGTACTAAGCAGTATGGGTTGGATAGGGCTCGGACAAAAGGAGAAGAAGGTTCCGACATGGACACGGACTGAGACGATAACAACGCGCGCAGTGGAGGTATGCGATTGTCCGCCAGAGAGACGAGTCGTGCGTGGTTGTCTACCAGTATTCCACTGGTTGCAAACGCGAACAATGCAACAAAGACCGTCAAGAGAGGAAACTCGATCCCATCGAATTCATCGCCAGTGTGATGATGATGTCCGTCTCCTGCACTGGCGCTGAGCAAGAGATGTTCAAGCGCCTCTTTGCAAACATACACCGCAGAGAACATGAGATATACTGATTGAGCGAAAAGCAGGACTGGCTGAGCACGGGCAGCGCCATATGGCTTGGAGACACTTGGAAAAGTGACGTGTGGAACTGCAATACCGATAGCATCGAATACCGCCCAATAGCCAAGCGCTGTTACGGCCAAAGTCCCTCGTTGCTGTCCCTGAACCCAAAGTGTTGCCCCGATGAAGAATTGAGCAATTGCTGCGACAAAATAGCTCGTCGGTGAATTTGTTTCCTGTCGTCCGTTTTCAGCGTTGAAAGTCGGAGTGGTAAGTGTTTCAGGGACGAATGGAGAGATGGGCATCCAAGGGGACATCGGTGTTGGTGTTGGTTGAGTAACCAGCGTGTCTGCTTCGCTGGTCGGTTGAGGTTCGAGGAAAGAAAAGAAGGTATGCGAGACAGAGTGCTTATGATGATGCCCCCTTCGTGTCGCAGTTCCAGAAGGAGGTTTTGGGGGAGGTTGTATGCCTGGCGGGGTTTTACCAAACGTGAAGCCAGCACCAAGTGTGGGCGGGACTTCTATTTCTTGTGCACCATCCTCGTCTATTGTCATCGGCTGGGGCGTTGATCCTGGTCGAGGAAAAAACACTGAGAGATTGCGAGAATGAATACGGGCATGACTTCGCCGCGTTGTTGGAATGCCGCTCTCGACATCCGCAGACTCTGGCAGTTGCACCTGAGACGGCGCAGAATGTGAAGTTGGAATGATAGGAGCTGGCGGCCTTTCTGGTATTTGGTCTGCGAATGATGTGCTCGTTGACAATGGCGATGGTAATGACGGGGAGAAGGGGCTCGAGACAGACCGCGTTCGATGGTGAGGCGTACCAAAGGAAGTCCTGAATGGTGACAACGGAGTCTGGTACGATGTTCTGTACGGGCCAGCGGACATGGGTGAGCTGGAAATATTGAGCGGGAGTCCAGATATGGAGGCATTGCGTTGATGCCTGGTCCGTGTGGGAGACGAGGAGGATGGGAGGGGAAGGCTGGATATTGACTCCGGCGGAGGCGTGATCACAACGAGCGACTCATCTTCGCTAGACCGTCGTCGATGCAGCTTGCCTCCGCTCATCGTCGCAAAGTTCAAGTTATGAGGAGTTTTGGTTGTGACCAAGCCACATCATCAACCCACAATCCAATCCGGATCAACAACTGGTTTTTTTTTTCTCTTCGAGTTTCAGTATATTTCAGTTACAGCTACCTAAACACACAGATGGGAGGAAGATGACAACAGGAGTGCGGTAGGACATGAGGAGAGAGGTGTGACAAGGAACGTATCTTTCCACTGTTTAGTCGGGATACTTGGAGGGAAAAGACAAAACGCACAACACAGGCAGGCTCAAGAGGAACCCTTGGGTGCCTCCTTGAAGGAGATAGCCTACTCGCCATGAATTACCACAACAAGTAGACATCGCAAGACACACCTGCTCTTCGCCCATAGCACTCACAATAGTGACAAGCAAGTCCTTGCCACTGTCGAATTCGTCCTGGATCTGCTTACCAAGATCACCCTCAGGAACCTTGACATCGTCTTTGGAGGCTCCATCGGAAGTCATAAGATTGAGGAAGCCGTCGTCGACGTTGACCTATATACCGTCAGTAACAAGCCATCCCACAATTCAAAAAAAAAAAACCCACGAGAGTGAACTCATTACGCTGAACATTAGGGACGTCCATGTTGTGAGTCGAAGGCGAGATATCTTCCTACTCGATGGTCAGCCGCCATACGTTACACAACCCATCAGTCCCCACAAGTTTCTTGCCGGTGAAAATCTAAATAGTCGTAAGGCAAATAGGTCGCTCAAAAAAAATAACGGCGCACGTCGATAGCAACCAGATGGACCTTCGCGTGGCCGTGCTTGCCGGTCTTGGAGGTGGACATGTCGACTATCTTGCAAGGACGGCCTGGAAATGTATGAAAAGACTTGCCGATGGGGAGCGATAACAAATAACCCTTAATCACGACATGCCCGTTCTTGCGAAGGGCAGAGCACTGCATAGGGAAAGTCAACGAGGCCCCAGCGTTCGCCTATGGAGAAATGGAATCAGTATGCGAGGGGGAAAATATCAAATCGTATACAGACATGCTCAAAGGTCTGGTTGTGGGCTTCATCGTCGGACATGGCTGCTAGCTGTGGGCATAGCGAGTTAGTAAATCGTCGCAAGTGATAAAGTAGAACGAGTTACGAGAGATTGTCGTGCGGTAGAGGGATGGGATACTTTTGCACCGTGCTGGTGAGATGTAATAGTCTAAGGGCAAGGCGTGAAAACTCTGCGACTTTTCAATCGCCGTTACGCGTGACAGGTCTTGACATCACTTGAGTCTTTGTGATCGTTGTGCTCGTTTCCGTCTTCACTGCATAGCCGCTAGCGGATCCGAAATTATCTACTGCATGTCTTCTTCATTTGGTGGCTCAGCAATATGCCCGCGATGCGACAAGGTGAGACTGGCCAATTTGAGTCTTTGAATTTCGTTCATCTAGTATAGACAGTCTATCAGGCTGAACAAATCATGGGTCCAGGTCGCAAGGTTCCTCTTCATGATCTTCTCGTAGAACTAGAGCTCATAGACTTTAGTTCTACCACAAGGTACATTACGGCTCACCGGCCGTCCGTAGATCTGAACGAAAGTTTAGCCTTGCTTATCTTGTATGACCTGCAAAAAGCGACTGGACTCATTGTCGCTTCTAGAGCACGATCAAGAGGTAAGTGTTCATTTTCTTGGCGTATATGACACTAAATCTTACAGCCTTACTGGTGTGTTCCTGCGTTTCAGCGCATTTAGACCAACCTGACGAGGCCAGCAAATCCTGTCATTCCAAGAATTTCGGAACACACAATCCTGGCCACCGTAACGTTGACCCACTGCTTACGCCTCCCCGCAAGGTACCCATAGGCGTGACATTATCCGAAAGTCCGAAAAGCACCGCTCTTGAGACTTCTCCAGTCAATGCGGTGGCGGAACGATATGCAACTGCAGCAGCAATCCAGCGACGTCACATGACAGGTGACGGTATCGACTCTACCTCACCACGACCAATCCCTCGCTCCTTGACAGGCGGTTCACCTTCTCCCAGAAGGACATTTGGGGTGGACAATCCAAAGTGTGCAAGGTGTACCAAAGCTGTCTATTTTGCCGAGCAAGTGAAAGCCGTTGGCAAGATATTCCACAAGGGCTGTCTCCGATGTGTTGAATGCAACACCCTGCTCGATTCGAATCGTCTCAGAGATCACGACGGTGAGCCGTTGTGTGCTAGTTGTCATACCAAACTTCATGGACCGCAAGGGCTGCGAAAGTAGCCTTTGATGTCGTTATCTATTCAATATCTAATGCTTGTATCTGCCATCACTGCAAATTACATAAAAATCATTATGATTTTTTTTTGTCTAAGCCTTGACTCGGACCAGCCTTAGTTGACTCGGTCCGCTTTCCTACATAATCACGATTCTACATCTAGCTTCCCGCACAAGAGCTGTGGTAAAACATCGCTGGCCTAACTCCACTCTTTGTCACCCTTTGCGAGTTCGGAATATGGCCACGGAAGACACCAAACCGATCGAACTCGTTCAGGTGAGGTGTTTGTCTACGCAGTCGCGCACATTTAAAAAAGCATCGCAGACCGGTAAACGCGACTATCTGATCACCCTAGAGAAGCGGTATCAGGCAGCTTGGGCCCGCGACAAAATCTTCGAGGTCAATGCTCCCCCAATCGAGTCTGTTGCTGGGCTATCGATTCCAGAAATCCACGACAAACATCCCAAGTGGTTCGGTACCTTCCCATATCCCTACATGAATGGCAGTCTACATCTCGGCCACGCGTTCACAATCTCCAAAATCGAGTTCGCAGCTGGATATCAGCGTATGCTCGGGAAAACTGCCCTCTTTCCCCATGGATTTCACGTTACTGGTTTGCCTATCAAGGTGCGTCGTTTATATTTGACAACAAGCAGAACACAACAGGAGTCAAACAGGCCTCAGCAGACAAACTGATTCGTGAGATGGAACTCTTCGGGCCCGATTTCCAAAACTTTGAGGAAGTCTCACAACAGCTGGCAGCCGAGGCCGAAGAGACGGAAAAGCCTATTGCGGTCGTGCAAGACGGTCCCATCAACAAAGCCAAGGCTAAAAAGGGAAAGATAGTTGCGAAATCGACAGGACTGGCATATCAATTCCAAATCCTCCAATCCATCAACATCCCAACGGAAGAAATCAAGTTGTTTGCTGACCCTCAACACTGGCTAAAATACTTTCCCCCCATTGCTATCGTGCGTAAACCACTGCATTCATCAACAGACTTCTCAAGTTCAACAGGAAGACCACACGGCGTTTGGTTCTCGCATTGACTGGCGGCGACAATTTTTGACTACCCCCGCCAACCCATACTATGACGCATTTGTACGGTGGCAGATGAATAAGCTTCATCGACTGGGCAAAATCAAATTTGGCGAACGATATACAATTTATAGCCCCAAAGACGGTCAGCCCTGCATGGACCACGACAGGTCAGATGGCGAAGGTCTTGGCCCGCAAGAATACACTGCGATAAAAATGGAAGTTGTCGAGTGGAGCGAAGCCGCGAACCTCGCGGTTGTAGAGAAACTTAGTGGACGCAAAGTCTTCTTGGTCGCCGCGACGTTGAGACCGGAAACGATGTTGGTGGTCGATCCATACTAGTTTTCGACCTCTGATATGTGTTGTCAGGTATGGGCAGACCAACTGTTTCGTTGGGCCATCCCTCAAGTATGGTGTCTTCGCCATGAATGATGAAGAGGCTTTTGTTTGCACCTATCGTGCTGCACGCAACATGGCTTTCCAAGGCATCTCGAAAATGCGAGGAGAAATCAAGCAACTGTTAGAGATTTCCGGCTCTGCCCTGGTCGGCACCTTGGTCAATGCCCCATTCTCGCTGAACCCTCAAGTTTATGTGTTGCCCATGGACACTGTCTTGCCATCCAAAGGCACTGGCGTTGTAACCTCAGTTCCATCGGACTCGCCAGACGACTGTGCCACCCTGACTGACCTGGTCAAGAAGCCCGCCTTTTACAAGATCAAACCAGAATGGGCGAGTTTCCCTCCGACACCTGTTATCAACACTCCTGGGTTTGGCGACCTGATTGCGCCAGAGCTCGTCAAACGAATGAAAATCCAGTCCCAAAAAGATGCTAAACAGCTGGCGGAAGCAAAGGAAATCGCATATAAAGAAGGCTTCTATAACGGTGTGATGCTTGTCGGCGAGTTCAAAGGTATGCGTGTCGAGGAGGCGAAACCTCGTGTCAGGGAGGCAATGATTCAGGCCGGCTTGGCTATGGCATACGCAGAGCCGGAAGGATTGATTGTCAGCAGGAGCGGCGATGAATGTATCGTTGCGCTGATGGATCAGTGGTATTTGGACTACGGTGAAACGACTTGGCGGACAGAGACTGAACGGTAAATTCTGCTTGTTGTGACATTTCGGGTTTAATTTTGTTTAGGTTGGTCAACAACATGGAGCTATATCAAGCTGAAACTCGCCATTCTTTCGAGAAATCTTTAGCTTGGTTGAACCAATGGGCTTGCGCCCGCACATATGGACTGGGATCGCAACTTCCTTGGGACCCTCACTTTTTGGTCGAGTCTTTAACTGATTCGACGATATACATGAGCTACTACACGGTTGCCCAACTCCTCCATGGTCGGCCACCAGATTTGTGATAACGCAGCTTCTGACCAGTTCACAGAAAACGATATGTATGGCTTGAAACCAGGGCCGTTAGGAATCACCCCCGATCAAATGACCGACGAAATCTGGGAGTACATCTTCTGCGACGGTCCTTTCCCAACACCATCACCTCTGTCACAAGACAAAGCGGACGCACTCAAATATGAATTTAACTACTTTTACCCACTCGACATCCGCTCGTCTGCCAAAGATCTGGTGCCGAACCACCTCACATTCTGCTTGTACAACCACGTCGCGCTTTTCTCTCCAGAAAACTGGCCCCGTAGTATGCGTACAAATGGCCATCTCCTGCTTAACGGGCAGAAAATGTCGAAAAGTAAAGGCAATTCGCTCACTTTGCGCGAAGCGATCAACAAATTTGGTGCTGACGCCACACGACTCAGTCTGGCAGATGCCGGTGATGGCGTTGAAGATGCCAATTTCGACGAGAAGAGCGCCAACGCCAACATTCTTCGGGTCCATACACTCGTTTTATGGTGTGAGGTCAGTCAGTTTCATTAATCAGTCTTGCTGCTCACCACAAGTACAAAGGAAATGGTCAAAGAACAAGCAAATCTTCGTCATGGACCGAAGTCTTCGTATCACGACAAGGTTTTTGAGCATGAAGTTAACGAATTGGTCAACATCACACAGTCTCACTATGAAGCGTACGACCAGTTCCCTTTTAGGCGAGCACGCACGCTGATGGTCATCCCGTTTAGCACCAACTACAAGGATGCTCTCAAGTATGGCTTTTATGAGCTCCAAACCGCGCGGGACTGGTATCGCGAAGTCACTTCCGACATCGGCATGCATACCGAATTGGTCCTTTATTGGATCAGAATATCGGCTTTGTTGATCGCTCCCATTGCGCCGCACTTTGCCGAACACATCTACAGCACTATTCTACAGTCGTCAACATCGATTCAACAAGCATTGTGGCCCACGCCTCCACCTGTTGATCCTACGATAGTTGAGACTGGTGTCTACATGCGTGGAACAACCAAGCAGATGCGTGATTCGGAGGCTGCCTTGATCAAGTTTACTAGCAAGAACAAGGGCAAGAAAGGCAATGATGCTCGCCTGCTATATGACCCGAAACAGCCCAAGGCAGTCCGAATATATGTCGCGACGACCTTTCCGCAGTGGCAGGATGCCTGTGTCCAAATTATCAAAGAGGTCTACGATCCTGCAACGGACCAAGTTGACGATGTAAAAGTGAGGGGTCTGTTGACGGCGGGTGGATTGATCAAGGACAAGCGTGTGATGCCTTTTGTGCAAGACTTCAAGGTATTAGTAGTCCTTTTGCCTTTGACCAGTGCTTTTTTAACTCTCTATCAGAAACGAATGGCACAATTTGGGGCACAAACTGCTTTTCGCCGCACTGTGCCGTATTCCGAACGCGATGTGCTTTCAGACATTGAAGCTTATCTGAAGAGGTCCCTTGGATTAACCAAGCTTCAGGTTTACTCCGTAGAAGAAGCATTGGCGAGGAGCGAAGATGGATTCACAGCAAGTGTTGTTCAATCTGCTGAGCCCGGGAGCCCTGCGTTCGAGTATTATAATGTTTAGAATTTCCTAATTGATACAAACTGAAGACGGGGACAGAAAAAGACTCGTTGTTAGATACGGAATGTGGAGGGAGTATTCAATGAGGAAAACAGGGACGTGTTGTAGTGGATACATGCGTGGGAAAAACAGACAACAAATGGTAGCGAGTAAGAGGACGGCGTAGAGATATAGGTTGGAGTGTGGAGTACGTAAGATACTTTGATTAACCAGCCGCCGTCTAAGACATGCATTTAGGCCTCCTTGAGATGGCAAGTTCGCATGCGTGGTCACCGGAAGAGAGAGAGAGAGAGAGAGAAAAGGGAAAACGGGATAGAGAAGTAGTTCATTGCGTAGCTAGTTTGACCATCTACCAACACATTCAGTTCATGTTCAAAAAAATTAGGGATATACGATTTACTTCTCTTGCCCATCGCCGCGTTTTGTTCATTTCTGGTGGCATTCTATGTTTCGTGCGGAGTTCTTGAGCTATCCAAGGTTTCATAAGCATCTGCTTCATTTCAGGGCTCCCGGCGAGCGCTTCAGCCAGGTCACCAAGAAGACCATAGGAAAGCTTCATCTGTGGATCAGTTCGGTCCTCATCGGCAGCACAGCGGTGAATCAGCTCGAGAATTGATTCGACGTAAGGGAGGAGAACAGCAACTGTCCGTCCCGTTAGTTGATGCTCAACACGGAGAAACCATACCAACCCTTTGCAGTGCCTTTGAAGCCGCTCACCAGTCCCGTGTACGCTTCAAGAATTCCTTCTCGGAGCTGACCGACATAATCCAGCATATCGTAGTCCAGCTATCAAAGGTGAGTCAACATGACAAACGCAATAAATGTAGCCATACTGGATTCGGCTGCAAAGCACCGGCCTGTCTCAGGACCGTCATAGTAGTCGCAAGGAATGGTTCAAAAGCTGGACCGATTGCCATTGCAATGTCGCCAAACCCACTTAATATGCTAATCTTGACGTTTCGATTTAGAACATCGCTTGAGAGGTTTTCAAGTAAAACTGTCATAAAATCGTTCGCATATTGAGCGGCCTGAGGTCCCAGAGCCCGAGCAATATCCCCAATGATTCCAACGGCGACAGTGCAAAGTTGAGTATCTTCGTGGGCTTTGAGAGCCGGGTAAAGATGAGGAAGGAACGCCTGGATGTACGGCGAAAAATTGATTTCCAAAGCTATTCATGCCTTGTTAGCAATTGGGAGGTTGACAAAAAGGTTTTGCTACCAGAAGCAAGAGCACCAATCGTGAGGAAGGCATCTTCCAAGACGGTCGACGTTCTGCCAGCCGCCTGAATAAGTTGCAAAAGTAGTGTCATAATGCGATCCGCTAAAGGTTGAATGCCAGCCCCAAGTTTGCGAATCACAGCCTATGCAAGGTTAGATATAGTAACAGGATCCATATAAAGCATCTTACAACGACAACACTACAAAAGTTTCCTTGTAGTTCATTCCAGTTGTTGCGGTCATCAACACCAAGAATCTGGTTCTGAAGCGATGTTCAGATGGACAACTTTCAAAGGCACCAACACTGGAGCATACCTGCATACCCAAAAGTTGCTCCATCCTTCCTAGGATGGCCACAACAGTATTCTGTACAACTGGAATGGCATCCACGGTTGCGCCACTGATGTAAGCGCTGATGGCTTCGTATGCGGCTGTCCTGAAATTATGTTCATTGCCGCCGCTGGGAAATTCGATCAGTCCATTGCTCGAGGCGCAGAGAGAGATCCACCTTTCCGTCACACGCAGTAAAGCAGCAACAACGCCTTCCGTATAGGGCGAGAGGGGACCGGTCTGGATAGGCTCACCAATATCGCCATCGAAAGCACCCAATTGGTCGGCGAGATTCATAAGCGCCCAACAGCAGTTAGCAACGATACGGTGATGCTCATCCGATAACGCGCCAACGAGTGCTGAGATTAAGGCATGGAGGTGAACGTCAGGCTTGATGGTCTGGATGAGAAGTTCACATATTCGACCCAAAGTCCACGCTACAGTATCCTTGACATCAGTGTGTGCATCAGTCATCATGTCGATAAGTAAAGGGAGCGCCTGCGTAACGAGGGGCGTAAGAACGATGGGATCCGGGCCTTCGAGAATAGAGCCAAAGGCCATAACTGCCGCCTCCCGATGGTGCCAGTCAGTCGATTTGATATGAGCTTCGATGAATGGAATGACAGCAGGAACTACCGCATCTTGAACCGCAGATGCGAGAAGTGAAAGGCAAGTGCCTGCCGCCATAGAGACATTCCACTCATCCTCGTCCGCGAATTCCTCTTGCTTTGTCAACAGGAGGAGCAGAACTGGCACAATCTCCGGCAATGCAACTTTGGCAAAATGCTTGGATTCAGTCTCTGGAGCTTCGCCGTATTCGCGAGCCTGTCGATATTGAGATTTCGCTGAGGATACGGCAGCCACAAACCTCTTGTGCCTCAATAGCTAAATCCATCTCCTCCTCACAAACCGTCGACCAGAATTCAACTGCCTGTAAGGCAACCCGTTCATCAGCATGCTTCATCCCGACAACAGTTAACTGAACGATATATCAGTCTCAACACAAGCAAAGGAGGGCGACCAACGCCAAATAACGCCTGTTCCATGTAAAAGGTCATCTTCTCGTAATAAAGGCTCATGATGCGAACGAGACACTCGAAGGCTCCGACTTGAACTTGGACGGAGGGATTCTGTGTGGCTTCACACACAACTTGCATGATGTAATTCCTTTCACCCTGGCATTTCTTGTCACGCTGACTTCTCTGTCAGTAACAAAGACCCACCTCCCGCTCAAAATTGTCCCGCACGAACTCCAAAGAGTTGAAAAGTGCATGGATCGCCGCTAATTGAACCTCGGCAGAGGGCTCTTCTTTTCGAGCACCGTGGATAACGGCCGTAAGAATTTCGTTCGAACGCAATGTCAAGATTTCAGGTTTCTGTGACGTTACCGGTCAGTAACAATACCCATTAGTATAGGATGGCGCACTATTGATTCGCAGATGAAGCCGATCGCCTGCAAGGTTGCTATCCGCAAATTAACATTGGCCTGTGTGTTCACAAATCCAAGGAGAATTTCGATGAGATCTCCCCATTGGCCATGAGGAAGCTCGACCGCCGCTATCGCAGCAGTAACCTGGGCTGCAAATGAGCCGGCCTTGGGCGAAGTCGATCCCAGCGTAAGGAGAGCATCATTTTTTATCTTGGTTTTTGCCTCCACCGATAACACCATCCACCTGTTTGCATATTCTGCGACCCGTGCAGGATCCTACATTGTTGTCAACTTGGTTGACAAGAGGAGGAGGGAAAAACTGACGCGGGAAGAAATAGCGTTTTTCAAGGCCAAACCTGCAGCATTCCGTATGTGGATCTGGGAGTTCTCATCGACGAGTACGCTGGAGAGCATGAGCATATAGTCGGGCTAAATGCGATGAGGAATGGAGTCAATGGTTCCCAAAAACAACACACACATAATTCTCCCGGGAGGCCGTCTCAAGCTTTTGTGTAGCATCTTGACGCGTGTTTGCATCTGAGAACAACGTGAAGATCCAGTTTTACCACAAAATGCAGGTGGCACGGACCTGACGATAGCGTATTCGCGAGCAAGTCTGTCGCATTCATCGTCACGGGATTTCGACGGAGGTCGGGCCCGTTGGGTCGTGAAAGGAGAAGGAGACGGCAGGACTGCTCGTTGAAAGCAAAGGCGGATTGTGATTGACAGTCACGTCACGTCACGCAAAGAGCAAAAGTAAAATCTTAATTATTATGATTCAACGTGTACAATCCACTCGGAAACTATTTCGTTGAGCGAGCGCATGGACCAGCCAGCGCCAAGTGCTGTTGTTAGCTTAGTGCCAGTTGCATGCAAGACCTCTTTGATACCCTGTTCAAGCAGGGTCGAACCATCCGACATATCGAGGCATCGCTGATACGATTCGCGGGCAAGGTCTTTGAGGATTACGAGCAGAGTAGACACTGGGACACTGTTTCGCAACATGTACCAAGCAAGTGTTTGCGAGACATTTTCCTCGATCTCTTCCCCTCGAGAGTATCGACCCAAAGCAGCGAGAAATTGGGGTTGAATACGAATCAGGTCAAGTTCTTTGTCTAGTGCATAAAGTGCGCCCGAAACGGTGCCATCGCGAATAAGCGGGATCCGGTGATTATTCTCCTTGCGACCGCTGAATCGGCGCTCGTATATTTTGTTGTAAAAGTCTGATGCAAAGCGCAAATCCTGAAGGTTGAGCTGAAAGTATCTGGACGTCGGTGGCATGATGCGATAGCGAAATAATGTAAGATGCGACTGTAGCGTCTGGGGTTTGCCCTGAAGAATGCTATCGAGCAAGTTGGCATGACTGTAGGCATGCAGCAATCGTTCGCCATCAGTCGCACCCATGTCTCGCGCCATATGATCAGCAAAAGCTAGGAATAGTACATCGTTCGAAAACGAAGTAATGAACTCGGAAAGATCGCCAGCAGGATGGATCTTCGTTTCGCTAAGCCGGGGAAAATCAAGTGTGGCGGCTTCACCGGTCGAAGTTCGAGAACGGACAAACAAGCTACGACTTCCTCGAGGGTCTTCCGTATAGCTTAGAAACGCAGTGCGACGTTTGACATAAAGTGTCTGACTTCGCAACAGACTGTTTCGATGTCGACTGATGTTGGCAGTATCGAAATGGAATGGCCAGTAGCGCGGCGTGTCAACACGGATGGCAGCAAGCTTGTCGAGATCAGGAATAAGGGTAGGAGAGATGAGTTGTGTAGTCCCTGTGTCCTGCCCATCGTTGACTGATACCTTTACGGGAAGATAAACTACCTCCCCCGTCTCTACATCGCGGGCAATTAAACATCGAGGCTCGACGGCCATCACCCACAGATGACGTAGTGCTTGCAAGAAGCTTTTGTTGTCCGAAGAGAGATGGTGAGCGCGGGGAAAAAATGCAGTGACCATTGAAGCAATAGCTGCATCCGAGGTCCCCAGCGTGAACCGGCCACCGCCCAGGAAAAGAAGGCCCAAGGACATGTGGGTCGCCACATGAGTCCCGTATTTGAAGGACGGATGATACATCGAGCTGGTGTACATTCCATAAGCAAATCTCAACCGCCGCAAACAGGAAATTTCTCCCGTGCCAGCCATGACCATGCTGAGGGCTATCGAAATCAGATTTAGACCATCGCGGACCGCGGAGCGGCGAATCTTTTGGTCGAAAGCTTGGCCTAGCCATGATTAAGCAGGATTATGTAATTGAATGTTCAACGTACTGTTCGTGTAAACCAGGCGAGTGAAGACATCAAAATGTCGGATGATCATCATATAGGCTTCTTGTCGTGCGGTTCCCGCAAACTTGAGGCCGATAACAAAGCATGAAGCAGCGAGAATGTTATAATATGCCAATTCAATCGCATCGTCGATCGGTTGTTGACTTTTCGTCCGTGCGTCCACTGCCTCTCGGATTGTTCGCGGAATTTGAGCAGCTTGCCACTCCGGTGTCGGTGCAACAGCATCCCACATTATTAACGCCTTTGCAAGAACTCGGTTCAACAAGAAACTAGGTTGGATACGATTTAGCGCTAAAATTGTTTCAGGAATTGTGAGCATATCGGCGATATCTTGACGCTCCGTTCGCAGATACATTAGGCCCAGCGCTAGGCTTGCAGCAGGAGAAGTAAGGTTGATGTCGAATCCAGGCGTCTGTTTGGTATGGAGCTCTCCGTGAATCAAGACTGTCAGTCGATCGAGGAACGTAGCATCGGCAGGAATACTACTTCCTTTGCCAAGCATAATCATTCCAAAGGCAAGAGCGGCTGAGAAGGTATAAGCTTCTCGATACTCATTGCTAAGGTCAGGTTGGGCAAGGTCATGCCGGCTGATCTGACCAAGGCAAACTTCAGCCATCCGCCTATTCCTAGTACCCATATAGAGCAGGCCAATTCCAGAGAGACCCGCCGCTTGCGTCATCAGAGGAACATTGAGATCTACGGTGGGCGTGGGGAGCAACGCTGGTGTATGAACAGCAAGTAGTTTCGTGACGTGCTTTTCGCCGGTACCAACATTGGCGGCAGCTAAACCAAGAAGGACACCCATTGAGGTCAAATCGTGCTTCGGGGTCAGATAACTAAATGTATGCCAAGTCAGCATTTGCTTCAGGTGCCCAGCGAGACCTAGTCCAAATAGAAAGCCAGCATGTTCTGGAGTAAGTTCCGATGGTTTATTGAAAGCGATCCAAGAGCTTTCCACTCCAAGTGCGGTCGGGGACACTCGAAGGCCGGCGGCAACTCCATTATGGAAATCTCCCCAGCTCATGGACTCTGGTGGTAGTTTACCAGCTTCCGGGGAAACAGTGATGTTCATTGGCTGAAGACGAACAGTAAACTCCATTTTGGGTATGGTGTACGCCTCTTTGGAGACACTAAGCAGGGACCCAAACGTAAACATAGCTCGACCATACGGAAGGGCCAAAGTCCGTTCGGCAATCCGAAGGACTTGTTGTTGCTGTTCCTTAGTCTGATCATGCTCGCTGAGAAGTATCAGTTCAGCATCAAACAATAAATGGAAAACTAACTTGAGATCGACACGTTCAACGACTTTGACTGACGGGATGTTGGAAGAACAAAGAAGCCGCGCGACTTCGTCGATTCGCCGATCCTGTCCAAATCGAATATTCGTGAACTCGTCAAGATCAAGTTCGACGCCAGAAACGACATCGTCTTCTCCTGTTAGCACCACTTTAGCTTGGGCGATGATGTCTTGGACGGTTGGGCGATCAGAGAACGTTGTCTTCACGGAAAATGATTCAACAGGGTAAGATTGAGTAAGCAATACTCACGACGAACTGCTTTGGCGACTTGTAACCATCTGTAAAAAGCATTTCCGGAGTGTTACTGGCAGAGGCTGCGACATCATTTCGCCCAACAGCGCGATAGGCATCGATCGTCCAGTCTCCTGGGGGAGCCACTTGACACGTTCTCATGGCTTCTCGAATTGGAGAAAGGACACCGAGAGGTAGACGGTCAAGGAAGTCAGGCCCCATTTTGAGTTGAACCATCTGAAGATTGGCCTTTTCAGCGCGCTTATGACTGAATGGTTCCTCGGTATCGGGAAGCGCCAATAGCTTGTAGACCGCTGTTAGTTTGGTGAGAGTGGTCAAAGGATCCATGTGACCGAAGGCAAATGAAGGCTGTAAATGGAATCGATTTGCGATATGTTGTGTATCATGCCATGGGACTGGCCATTCAGGATTGCTGATACGGCCGTATAGAATAGCGGAAACGTCGGGCGGCCAAACCGGTAGGCGATCGTCGACCTGATAGTCTAATGAAATGTTACTGAAGGCCAAAAAAGTATGACGTAACATGAAGCACCTTCGGTGGACGGACGAGGCCAGCCCGCCATTGCATTGGGACATAATCGCTTCCAATAATCAGCCCACTCCGGCCGAACAGCAAGCGCAATTTTGCATATGATAGGCGCAACTCGACAAAGATCGTTGTAACGGTCAATTCGAAGGCGCAGGTCCTCGGCCATAGAGTGCAGAGCATACAAAATGGGAGCAAGAAGATATTTTCGCGGTGTCTGGTGGTGGGACTGAGTTATCGAGTTGAGGGGGCGGTTAGGAGTCTTCAGGTGACGCCAACACTCTTCTTCACGGAAACGATAGTGCGAGGAAGATTTTGCCAAGGCAGACCAAGCATTCTCAGTTGTTGTTGTCTGTGAGAAAGAGGAAAGGTCGAAGGTCAGCGTTAATGCGTCGACAAGACATTGGAACTGGATGTCTTCGGTGCCCAGTAGAGCTCGTGATGACCACGACGACAAAAAATTTTGGTGCAACTCGAAAAAAATATCAGCAGGGATGGTCAAAGCGAGAATTTGGAGTGTTTGATGAGTGAGGTAATCTGTTGGTATCAAATTGAGGGACAAATGGTGTTCGTGTTGCTGAAGATTATCATCCTTGAAGACCAAGGACACAGATTGGCTGGAATGTGGTCTAAGACCAACGACGTCGAACGATAAGTTGGATTGTTGCGCGTGTTTGACTCGGAGTTGAATCAAAAGTTCTTTCGTGCCGTGAGTGAGAACAGTAAGCTGATGATCTGGTCGCAGGACGAGGAGGTCCCAAACGTTGGCGCGCGTGACACGCGCGGTCACCGCAGCTAATGCAGAGAGCCGATGGATTAAGTGAACCTTGAAATGATTATCCTGTTCTGACACCTCGAATATGAGTAGTTTGTTAGAGATAGGGAGGTGAACAGAGAGTAGTGCAATGCGAGATGCTCCTATGCGTCGACCATCGAAGAGTGTGCAACTGATCATTTGCCACTGGTCGCAACTAAACGCAAGTCAGTTTACGAAAGTACCGAAAGTTAGTGAGAGACTCACTCGTCAGTAACTGCATCATATGTCAAAAGTTTCTCTGCCCAGTAGCAAGTTTTCATGCGTGCATGTTCAAGGGGGATGAGAGAGCTTTCCAATTCGGTATGAGCCCCAAGAGCCATACGATCCATCGTAACGCTCAGTTCGTTCCGAGTAAGTGTGTTTCTTCGTGTTCTGAGTGGTGCTGACCATTGAGAAGATGTTTCGAGGGTAATAGAGCTCATTGTGGTTGTCGTTGAGAGAGCTGGAGGCATTCCGGGAAGGGAAGATAGTGGCGGCATATCAGAAGGTAACACGGGGAAGCTGGATACTGGAGCCGTAGGCGGCACACTTGAGGGTTTTGGGGATCGTAGTGGAATTCGATCTAAGCTAGAGATTACGGCAGATGATCGCCTCGTGGTGTTTGTTGACATTGACTGACGGTGACGAGCGACCCGCGCACGCCCCAATGGGACTGGGGTGTCCTTTGGCTTGATATAGACGTATCTCCATATACAAAGTTGCCTAGTTTCGGTGTCAATGGTCACAATGACATCGCAGGTACCGCTGGAAGCTCGGTTCGAGGCCCACACAAGTTTTTGGCCGGAAGGTATAGCTTTTACTGGCTTCTTGGAGTTTTCATCCTCATCCTTCAACGTTGCTTGGTCGATGGATGAATCACCCAATATGCCGGATGTTAGCCCAACTATACAGGGTTCAGCAAAAGGACTCGTCAGGGAGAAAATAGTGGGAAGCAGGCTTTCTCCAGTAAGCGCAAAATCAGCGACTTCGGCTGGTTCTATGTGTCGCTGGATCATAGCTCCATGTGGGTAGAGCGGCCATACTTTGTGGACGACGAATGGGAGGGAGAACGTGTAGTCGTGGCCGGTTTTGAGGAAGATTTTCCCAACACTGCGCAGAAATACAAAGATGGCCACTTCCCGAGTTGATTGGTCCTGAGAGGGTTGGTGCTTTGTTTGTTGATAACGTGCAAATGGACCAAATGTCGGTCGTTCTGAGGTCGCTGCCGATGAGGGGTCCGTAGCATTACTTAGTGTTGTTGAAGGTGATGGATCGGTGCTGTGGTCAAGCCAGCCGATAGTCGCAGTCTGTACTTGCTCTCCCTCATGGATGAATGACCAGGTTTTGCGAATGATACCGCCCGAGCGCCAAACAACGACAGAGGAGTCCCAAAGTATTTCTTCCTCTTCCTCTGAGTCATCGTCAACCAAACTCGCGCGTCGCCTCTCAGCTAGCTCGATGGGTGAACCGTGCAAAGCGCCGCGAATCGTACTCAAAAGAGTGTTTTTGGGCCATTCAGCGTCAGCGCGAGTTGGAAATAGGTGGCGGTTCTTGGTCGCAGATGTCTCATCCGAGAGTACCACTGAGATTGTGCAAGACTTGGACATCATCAGGCGGCAAGATCTCAACCGTGACGTGACGCGACTTAATTCTACATCTGCAAGTCACGCGTCGGAAAAATCAAGTCATTCCAAGTATACGAACTCAGTGCCTACTTATACTGTCGTATACAAAATCTCAATAAACGAAATATTCCGCGTCGATTTTTGAATCTTATGTGTTCTGGGTGGCTGAGCCTCCATAGCTGGATGTTACGATGACTGCCGTTGGTTTTCCCTTGGTAGCGATAGTTAATGTGAACTCATTGAAGCCAAGTGGTGTCATCAGCTGTGGCTTTACTATATCTGCGCCGACAACTGAAAGAGACAGTTGTGAAAGATCACTATTTGTCAGAGCGACAACTGTGATCATCGTCATCCCTGGAGAAGACGTCAGCATCAAAGGGTATGGGGCCGAATATCTTTAACCTTTCTGGTTTCGCGTCGTCACTGAAAGGATGGTGATGATATCAACGGAACCTGTAGCTGTGCTGGATGGCGTATTTGAAGCGCTTGGTTGCGTGCTAGTAGGTGGACAAGAAATCGGGGTTGGCCTCGGAAATCCCGGCCAGGGATCAAGTTGCCCCACGACGAGGGGAGTCGGAGGCGGAATTGCCAGATAATTGCCGTAGACCAATGGCCCACCCCCAGCGCTCAGGTAAGGTATCAAGTCGAATTGGCTATGCGAAGTAGATTATATAATTATACCTTGAATTGAACGTAAAACAGCTTACTTGGGTAGTTCCGGGCTGCCAAACGATACAAGTTCTGGGAATATGTAGTCGAAAATGGGCTGAATGAACTGGCCAGCAATGATCCCCCGTGGGCCAGCCTGTCCGTTAGCGGTCATCACAAAGAGATCATCGTGACAAGTTCAAACATACGACGACACCATTGCTATATCGAAAACCAACATAACGAGTGGCAGGTGATGCATCGACCTTGCCTAGGCGGAACACGCTGCGTCCAATTGGCACCTTACTCGAAGGTTGCACCAGTTCAAGGTTCCGCTCTGTTTGTTCTCCTGTGCATGGGTCGATGTCGATAGCAAACCATTGTACCGTCGTCCCTGGATCTGTCGACTGCCAGTGCAAGGTAACTTTTTAGGCTCGAGTCATAAACAACGTTATTACCAATGAAGTTGCTCCTGTATGATATCAGTTCAGAGAGTAAGGTTTGGAAATACGGACGGGTTTCGCCAGTCTCAACCGTTGGATCGGGTACCACTATGCCATACTGAGCAGCCGCACAAGTGATGTAAGCTGGCTGCGTGCCCGCGGTCGTGAAGATTCCTATATTGGCCTCCAGCGAATAAATCGCAAGTAAGTCTCCAGGAACTTTGGTTCCACTGTAGGTGACATAATCACCAACAACAAGCGGGACCATAATGCGCGGATCGAGTCCTACACTGCCATTGGCAATATGAGCCGGGTCGGGCATGGTGCTAATAACTCAAGTTAGATTATCTCAAGAGTCTTCACAGTCACCGCACTCACAAGGATGTCAGATATGACCCATGAATGTCCATCGGCCTTGACATTTGAGCATTGCGACGAATATCCGTTACTTAAGCCTTACCGGTTAGTCAAAGGGCATTCCGGGTCGGTTGCATTTCGGGGAATACACAGAGGAAAACCCTAGCATGATTAAACTGATTCAGTTAACTTAGAATTTGAAAGAGGTCATTACTGTTGAAGAACGAATTGATGGATTATCGGCATCGACCGTAAAGAGTGGCAATTCCTTGTACATGGGCCCGAAACGTCCCACAGGGCTGAGGGAGATTGAGTCCGAGTGTCAATGCCGGTCGGTTTAATTACTACTCACTCGTTGAGAACTACCTCGGTATTGTCGATGAAAAAGTGGCCGGTGGTGTAGTCGATGGAAGTGATAAATCCTTGCAGCGACTGAACTGACTGTTGCGCAATATACACCAAGCCGGCGATTCGTGTGCCGTTGACTTGGTTGCCCCAGACCTGATCGGGTGCACGGGAGTTGTCCTTGAACAAGGCTGCCAGTGGTGGTCACTCACAGTAGCTTCCCATGCAACACCTTCAGATAAGAAAAGCGGGAGAAGAGGCTTCCCAGTTTCATCAAACATCTCCGACCACGCACAAGTGATTGAGGGAAGCGTGAGCAAGAGATTCTATTGGTCGTGAGTCGAGGCATAAACATTAAAGCTTTCCCTGACTGTGGGGATAACGATATGAAAATTATTGACGGTGATAGTGCCGCCCGCTAGAGGGTCTTCGGAATTGTCCAAAGTCATCCTGTCATTGGGTCGCTCAAGAATCAGAATGATGGGAGAAGAACGCACGCATCAATAATACCGATGAAATTGAAAGGGCTGGGGTCATATGTGGCAGCTTGTGAGGCGACCAAGCCGGTACTGACGAGGATAAGCAGCCATAGCAACAGGCCCGCGGAGTGTAAATGCATTTGTTGCGCATATTGAAGAAGAATGAGCTGGGCTTTATACTTCACATTGGGAGAAGGTACAGGTACAGTCAGGGCTGTTACAATAAAGCGTTTGCTTACGAAAGTTTATCCAAGCAGTTCCCACCGGTCGCCTGCCCATTCAGTAAATGCAAAGCGCTCCCAATCAATTGCATCTCCCGGTAAGAAATCAGTGTTGCCATCGACAGAGTGGTCGGTCGAGTACCCTCGCATCCACTGTCCATCCTCTGCTTGCCATGCTTGCCATGCCCAAAATTCCAGATCAGACCTTCTTCTTCCCAAAGCAAGTTGCCTTCGACCGACACAGGCGCGCCAAGTTGTGTTGTCTGCATTGCGTACAAACACCCCTTTACTGCACTCTTCATCAAGCCAGATTTCTTCATATTTGCCGACAAGACCTGTTTCAGGGTTAACCATCTCGCCAGACTCAAGGATAGTGCCATCTGGCAGGGACTGGTTGACTCCGATATCGACGACGCTGAGAGGATCCTAGTCGCGGCTGAGTATTAGAAAACAGGTGCTGGTAATTATTCACAAGTGTGTTCGAGTCGATGTGATGTTGGAATCGCGTCTTGTTCGTCCCCAGCTCTAGAAGCACCGGTCTAAAAGATGTTGGATTGACTACCGACTCACCCGTTACTCGAAAGCCTGCAAAGGCCCAATCAAGCTTTCTCGTACTCTTATCGAATCTAACGTCGAGAAATGCACCTGTCTTGAGGCTCGACAAAACTACTGTCTGGGTGGATTCAGACGCTGGGGTTGGAAACCACTGGATAGATTGTCGAAGTGAGATGCAGGCCATGGCAGGCGTGATGGTACGTAATCAGAGATAAGTAGTCAAAGGAGAGCTACCTGGTAACCTACAGAGTGGCGAATGACAGACAAACATAACTTGTCAATATGTAGATTCCTTTCTCAACGCCGAAATGGGTCATACTTTACCCTGAATAGCTATATAGCAATTTCTACAAGTACACAAATCACTACAGTCTGCAGGCGACTAGAATAATCCCAAGAGATCTTCCTGTTGGTGTTGCGTTGGCGGTGCTGGCGGGGAAGCACTTGAGATGACGTTCGTGCTTGGCGCCGCGAATATAGATACTAAATCATCTAAGGGGTTTGCCGAAACGCCTGCCATCAGATTTGCGGCCGCGGGTTGGGTGAGCACTTCGGTTGCTGCAAGTCCGGTTGGCTGTCCATCCAGAGTGGCCTCATTGCCAAAATCACTGACGGGTTGTTTAGCTTGGCATGGTGTGCGAGACATACGCACAGCAAGTTTTCCACATATTGTCCTGCAGCTACTGTTTGCAAAGCCTTCTTTGCTGAAAAGGGATCCTCATCGTTGAATCTGTCTGCAGGTCAATAACAGGACGGTCCGCATAGAATACTAACGTTGCCTCTTTATGCTGCACACTCTCAACTCCGACTCTACCCATTCCAACAAATGTTTCTGCTGGTTTATGATAAACACTTGTTAGGTTCGAAATTTCGCCTAGAAGTTCTTCGAGGAGGGCGGATGAGACAGTCGTGCGAGGAATTGATATAGGGGGCCTGTTCGCAAGAACAACTGCCTGGAGTGGCTGTTAACCCGGCTACCTGTTTCTCTCTCTCTCAAGCGCTCACCTTCGCAGCGCCGGGATCAGTCGATAGTAGCCTCCAGTAGATGTAGGCCCGATCACGAACATCCGGACTATCACAAGCCGTGGCTTTATTGAGGATGAGTTGCACGATTCCTTGAGATGAATCCGGCTTTTTGAGGAACAACTTCACGACTGCGGTGAGTGTTTGTAATTGGACCTGTTTTGAATTGAGGAAAGGAAGGCACTTGAGATGTCAACGCACTGAATACGATTCTTCAACAAAGGTATCCACAAAAATGTTCAAAAGTTCGTCCGCATTATCGATCTTGTTGGCATACTCCCCAATGATCCATATCAGGGAAGCTTTGGCTTCAGGTTCGTCGAGTTCGTCTAAATTTGCGCAGAGTGTAGGAATAACGCCTTCGTATGTTGAAGGATATTTTCTGAAAATATCCTTCATGACGACAATGGCCTCTTGCACAACATAGGTTACTCGAGTATCAATTAGGTCCAAGAGAACATGGACACATCGTTCCGCCGCAGCATCGATTTTGACAGCCGTTTGTCCAATGCACTTGACGCTCTTCCGCACAAAATCGACATCCACCTCGGACGCGTACCTGAAATAAGTATAAAGCAAAGCAATCGCATGTGACACGTACTCTTTCAACTCGCTGAGTAACGCATCAACGTTGCTCTCATTGGCTAACCGGACCATGATGTCCAACTTCTCTACTTTGACATAGAGTGGGTCGTTGTATTTGCAGAAAAACACGCGAATTTCTGTTGATAGAGTCTCAGGACGTTTTTGTAGGAGAAGATTGATGTTTCGCAGTGCAACCCATTGCACCTCTGCTGGGGAAGAAAGGAGAGTCACAAGCGGAGGGGCCATTTTCCGGATTAGTTGCTTTGTAAGATCTTCACGTCGCACACCGCGCATATGGATCATCACAACCTTAGATGACCATTGAGCAAAATCAACAGGAGAAAGAGTGGTTACTGTACTTTGACGGCAGCCAGTACGACACTGCCATTAGCATGTTGCAATTGAGGAACAACCCGCTCGCATATGTGGTCGCTTTCCTTCTCATCTTGAGCTTGATATCGGGCAAGGGCATTCAAAATCGCAATGCGTCCCCATTCAGAGCATTCATTGAGCGCAATGAGAAGCCTGTTAAGAATTGTTGGTGAGATGATGAATATGCCAGGGTCGGAAGTTGAACTGGAAGGTCGAGCAGAAGCAGCGTTGTGAATGTCAGTGAGGGCAGCGACTGTATTCGCAACAACCTTCTTTTGGTCAGGACTCTCCTTTTGAGATCAAATTCACAGTTGACTCACCATGGGGTTACTATCCGCAATCATATCTCTCAACTGCTCCAAGAAACCGTTTTCAATCACCAGCTCCGGTTTGAGGTCATATCTAGACAGTTTCGATCATTTGGTTGATAGATCTAGAATGGATTACTTGCAGTTTGGCGACGCATAAGGAGGCTGTTTTGCGTACGTAGGGATTCTCATCTGCTATGAAGTCAGACGACGTTGCTCTTGTGTCAAGCAACGCACCACGTAGGGCTTTCGCTAGAGGGTCACACAGGTAGTCAATGATCTTTTCGGCGCGCAGCACTCCCATGGTCCGAATGGCAAGGGCTCGAACCAGGGGATTCGGGTCGTCAGAGTCTTTGACGAAAGTGTTGACTGCGAGAATGACCTACGTCCAGTTGTTTCATCTGTGGATCCAGGGCATAGTAACTCATATACGCACCAATTCTGGTTGCGTTTTGGCATAGTCTATGCCAAATTGTAAACAGGATTGAGATGTGGTGGTGGTGGCGGCGACGCACTCATTAAGTAGAGGTAGACTAGTTTTTTTTGCTCCAAGTCTTCCGTTTGCATGTTCTTGAGGACATCTGGAAAGAGTCCGCTAACATCTATGATAGGTTAAAGGAGCTCTTTCGTGGTGGTGAATAAAGACCTTTTCCGACCGTCATCGAAGCAATGACACGCTTGATTGCATCCTTCCTCTTTTCTGCATATCCTGAGTTTAAATCTACTGAGAGTTCGTCTAATTTCGATCAGGAAAGGACGGCGCAATGAAGTGGAAGATGGCGCACAGTTCTCCCCCTTGCGAGGAGCACGCGAACTCATCGGTGTTGGGCGTCACGATATCACGCTTTGGTGACACACCACTACTTTCTGACCTTCGCCATGTCCCAATATAAAACGGCTATTGGGAGTCCAGCAGTCCCTGTTTCTGGACCTGACAACAACAGATACCGCACACAAGCCCGACAACTGCAAGAACTTTTCCCTTCATGGTCCAATGATGGTGTGTACGCGTTTGTACAGGTTTTACGCGCCTCTTCATTTTGAGTCTCCAGACCTCCAGTCTCTTTTGCACGAGGTTGCTGGCGACGTTGAACTAGCTGCGACTCGTATCAGCGAGGGTTAGTTGTTTCTCTGTCGTTTTTGTTTATGTTCTCATTGTCCATACTGTAGGACATGCCGAGCAATGGGGAGCGGTGACTCGCAAAAAGGACAAGAAGCCGAATGGACTTTCGCACCCACCGAAGGAGTCCGCCTCCACCACCCGAACCGATTTTCGCGGTGGAAGAGGCGGCGCACGTGGCGGACGGGGTGGATCCACTCGAGGCGGTACAGTCCCTCGAGCTCGTGGAGGAGTGCGGACAACTAACGGTCAACACCATATCACGTCGACCGATAACCCTCCTGCTATCGACAAGTCTGTTGAGAAACCGCCAGCAACAGCAGCAGTTGTCGACAACCCATGGCCTGAACAAGCTCCAACTTCATCTTGGACTGAACCGAGCGAGAGTGTATCTGCTACTCCGGCATCTTGGGGAAACACGAAAGAACCCGAGCTCAACGATACTCCCAAGGTGTCTGCGAAGACTCCGGCGACCTCCAAAATGTCCTGGGCTCAAATTGCACGGTATGGTGTTGAAATATTTAGTTACATCATGATGACTCCGTACTCAGGCCTCAAGAAAAGCCTGTTTCAGTACCAGCACCCCCACTACCCAGCACCACTCCTATTCTAGAGCCCGAGCCCAAGGCGCACACCGATTGGGAAGAGCCTACAACTGTTCAACCACCTCCCTGGGAAGAAGAAGCACCAACCATAAAGCCATCTACATCTACCTCTGCAGCCGATGTTTGGGCGTCGGCTGTCACGGCGACCGATGTTGAAGAGCCCAAGCAACCGGAATCCGAGCGACTTGAGCAAGTATCTGTGGTTGACGCAAATCCTCCCCCCTCTTTGCAATCAGAGCCAGATACTCCCGTTCTGACTACTTCCCCTTCCGTCAAGCCCCCCTAGACCTGCACCCACGTCTCATCGCAACAGCGCGCGATACAAGCTCTCTGATCAAGCGGTAGTCATGCCTAGCTCGTTTGGTACAGGTCTCGAGAAAGTGGGAATGCAATTTGGAAGTCTCAGTCTCGGCAGCGATGCTTCATTTGAAGCCACGTAAGTTTTCAACTTCCACTTCGCCTTTGCCCTCATTGCCATACAATGCATTTTTTCTAGGCCAGAATCGGATCTTGCACCAGAACCCCAACCTTCAACGACATCTCCACCAGTGGTAACTTCAGTTCACCATGACCCTCCGCCTCAAGCTACAGTCCCACCATCGTCGGCCTCTCTGGGTTCCGCTCTATTCCAACAAAGTTTGCCTCCACAAGCTTCACATTCACTGCCGAGCTCCATCTCTCAGCCCGTCGTTTCTCAGAATCAGCAAAAAATCGATTCACAGTCCTCCCAGGAACTAAATCAGCTAACCCCACAACAACAATACATGCAACAGCATATGGCTGCTGGAGGCTACGTTCCCCCGCATGTCCAACAACAACAACAACAACAACAACAACAACAACCACAACAGCAGCAGCAGCAGCCGCATCCGCAGCAAACGCACACTCACCAATATTCGCAACACGGGTTACCGACTCACCTTGATCCCTCTCAACCAGCCCAGCAGCATCAATCTGGCACTGGTCATTCGAGTTATTTCAGAAACGATCACACCTCGGCCGCTTCAACACCTTACTTTCATGCGGCGACGCCCCCTGCCAACCAAGGGCCCGATACACCATATGGCGCATTTGGTCAACTCGGTGTTCATCAAAGTCAAGGCGGTCATTTGGCTGGTTTTGGCCAAGACTACGGTCACGATAGCCCACGAGTAAGTTGTTGATTTTTCTTTAGTTGGTTCTGACGCTCTATCCCCCAGGGCTTTTATGAGTCATATCAGCCATCCGGCTTCAACCGAGGTGCGCTGAGCCACGATGACGTCAAAGGACTCTCCAGTGCTTCTCAGACACAACCGAATACGGGTGGTCTACCGCCGCCCGCGCCTTCTACGGGTCAACATGGTAATGGCCAGAATTCTGGCCAGCAACCGCCGCCAAATGGTGGACCACAGGGTCAGCAATATGCGCCACCAGTTCCTTATTACTACCCCTACCCCCAAAATCAATACTACGGCGCACCATACAACTCGGGTTACAGTGTCCCGCCCTACGTCAAATACCCCGCTATGTTCCCTGGGCCACCTGGGCCCGCGAATGGACCGGCTCCCAACCAACAATCTCAGAATACTCTCAAGGGTCAAGGTCAAGGCCTGTATCAATCGGGCTACGACGATTACCCTGGACAGCCACAGCCACAGCCACAGCCACAGCAGCATTCACTCAGTCTCACACAAGATTATGGGAAACCTCTCTATGGGGGCGGACAAGGTTTCATTGGACTCAGTGGACCAGGTGCGGCGGCTGGCCCCCAAGCTAACGCCCGCGGTGGTTCGCCTGAGACACAATACAAGCCATATGGGAAGGATGTTGGCGTCGCAGCTCGAGTTCAGCCTGGACAACAACAGTCGCAAGGTCAACCTCAAAACTCAGGGCAAGGACAGGGCGTTCCCCCAGGTCAGGGTTTCTATGGAGGGAATCGCTTTGGTGGCGTTGGGGGTAGTGTTGGCTCTGGAGCAACTGGCCCCCAGCAAAGCACTCATCACCAAGCGGCTCATTTGGGCTATTCACAGACACAAAACGAGTTCTATCCATATCAAGGCAGGCAGCAGCAATACTGGCAGTGATTTCTTTGCTCTCATATCGTATCGCATCTTTCCATTTCTTTCTGTTCCATTATCTGTCTCTCTCGTCATCTCACTCCGCTCAATGCTTTTGTACGTTCTTTAGCACACTACAATCTTGACGCGTTTATACATGCACCCCTGTGTTCGTTTGACGTCTTTGTTCCACAGCCTTTTTGTCAGGTAACTAACTCTTTAGAACAGCATGTGATTGAAAATATACCTTGTTAAGCGCATCCATCATACCCACCGTCGTCGTCCAATTCACACAAGCATCGGTGATGCTCACACCATGTTGAAGGAATTCTGGACCTTCAATGGGGACATTCTGTCGCCCGTCATTTATATTGGACTCAACCATGACCCCTGTGATGTTTCGTGAACCAGCCGCAAGCTGATCACAAACGTCGGTGAGCACTAATGCTTGGTTGTGGTGGTTTTTTCTGGAGTTACCGTCTATGGAGGTATGTGTATTAAAACCAGGAGCCTGCAGGAGACTCACGGCTGCAGTCAATCATGATACTGGCCCATTCCTTCTTGTCGGTAATTGCTTCGATGGCCTGTTTGACATGTTGACTACTATAGTTTGGGCCTTGCGTTCCGCCACGAAGAATGATATGTGTATCAGTATTTCCCCGAGTCTTGACGATCGCTGCCAGCCCTTGTTCAGTGACGCCCATGAAAGCGTGAGGCGACCCGGAAGAGTGCATCGCGTCTATAGCAACAGAAACGCTGGCAGATTGCTCAACAGGCAGCACCGTCATCATAGTATGAGCCATACCTTCCATCTGTACCATTTTTGAATCCAATAGGAAATGAAACGCCGGAGGCAAGTTCGCGATGGAGCTGAGATTCTGTTGTCCTTGCTCCGATGGCGCCCCACGATAGCACTACAATTATAGTTAAAAGCTACGAGTAAATTTTAAACGCACAATCTGCCAGATATTGGGGTGAAATAGTATCCAGCAACTCAGAGCCAACAGGCAGGCCCAAATCTGCAATGTCACATAATAACTGTCGGGCAATGCGAAGGCCTTTGTTAATCTGGAAAGACTGCGAATGGTTGTTACCACTTCTTGTCTCGGACGAAAGAACTCTTACACCATTGATATCTGGATCATTGATAAGCCCCTTCCAGCCAACTGTGGTGCGCGGTTTCTAATAAAGGATCTCACGACTCAGATCCGAGCATAAACGGCTCCTACCTCGCTAAAAGAGATCGAGAAGGTTGGATCGAAAAAAATGTATGTAGCACGCACAAGTATGCCCGCATGATAACCAGCAAGTTCGGCCAATCGAAGGTTTTTGACTTGAGCAGAGTTGCGTATTCCATTGCTTGCTGAGGATCATGAATCGAGCATGGTCCTACAATGACCAAAACGCGGTCATCGTGGCCAGCGAGGATTCGGGCTGCCTGTGAGATCCGATGGGACTGTGAACAGCAACGAATTCACTTTCTCACAGAGTAACGAGCCGAAGCAATGGTCTTTTGAGCCTTGAGAGAAGAGACGATCTCATGGCGGAGTAGGGCAGGTTGCACCAGTGGATCATACTACTTCCTATATCACAAGTCGTGGAGAGGTAGAGCACGACGCACACCAATGACGCGTCGATCGCGGATATATTGTTGGTTGTATGCATTTTCAAGTTCAGAATCGTGCATTGGGTCCTCCGGAAGCGCTAATGACCTTTTAAGACCACCTAACCCCGATGGCAGTGGTCCTTACCAAAGCGAAACACCTTTCGAGGATCTATGCTCATAGCTGTTACAGAGAAAATAATCGTGGTGTGTGAAAGGTATGCCAAGAGGTTGGATACTAAAATCAGTGATCGCGATTGCCAAACTTCGGAGTGGAACTTTTTTGCCCGGATTTTGAACAAATCTAGCCCCAGTCAGCAAAATTTGTGCGGATTTGCTTCCAACCTTGGGGAAAATCCCTAAGTAGGCTAAAATTAGCCAAAAGAAATTGCACTGAGCAAAGTTGTCCCCAAAAGGGCAAAATACTGGTGTTGTGGGCAGCTGAAAGAAGAAAAATGAAAATTCCAAAAAAGGAAGGCGGGAGGAAAAGAAAAGAGAGGGATTTGAATAGATCTCTGTACTGTATTCAAGGGGCCAGCGCAAAAAAAATCCTAGACATTGGGTCGAAAAAGTGAAATAAGCACCAGCAGACCCTCCCTACCCTATTGACTAAGCATGACTAAGCCACATGACTTCCCAAAAAGGAAATTATTGTCATCACAAATCACAGATCAGTCCAATAAGCCAATAAGCTAGCTCGTCACGCCCGGCCGTCGGGGGTAGTACATGTCAGTAGGAAATATAAGTACATAAATCTCCGAAGAGATGGGGAAGGCAAAAATTCATGTATGAGCGCATAAGCACATGATACATAGGTGTCAATGTGCCGGGCTTGGCCGCAAGGCCACAATGAGACGCTCCGCCCCCGAGAGTGCAACTTAGGCAACTCCGGGAAAAAGGAGACGCTCACCGAGGAGCTCCCAACCACAAGAGGGCAACATAGGTAGCTCTGGGCGGGAGACAAAACTCGGGGCAGCCTGCGGCCAGCACGACGCACGACTGGGTGGGAACCGACGCCATAAGCGAGCAGCCGGACCCCCCAGAAGCGCGTGAGGAGGGTGGGCGGGGAACGCGCAAAAAGTCTTGAAGCCACACAACATGGTGGTGTCAAGCAAGCGCTGAAAGATGATGTCAGTCGCTAAAAGATGATGTCAGTGTCGGCTTTGGCCGAGCGCTCCCACGCTAGCTTATCTCACGGTAGCGGCGGCTCGTGCCTCGCCCCGCTAGCTGACAGGAAGTAAAAATCAGTACCTATGCACCATATCCTAGACCAAGACGCTGAATCACTGCAAGAGTGCTAGTCTTCTGGCAAACAGGACTGCAGCACTCAACTTCATTATCCTCCACCAGGTTCCACTATGTCTGCCTCAGAACATGCCATGTTTGCTGCAAACAGATCATAGTGTATCTATAGACCAAAAGATGGTCCTTCTGGACATCCTCGGACCTTTCTCAGACAAAGTCCAAAACATGAAATTTTTGTCTGGGGACCCCCCCTACCCTATGTCACAAGCGTGACATAATGTCTCGGCTTGCTGATCCGCGGGCCCCTTGACTGTATTCCTACTATTTATATATGCAAAATGAGCCTTCCTCAAGTGTAAATTTCTCTGAGCGGCACCTGCGCCGAGCAGTTTAGTGTGTGACACATCTCCTATGCAAAAATTTCTGTTTTCAAATATTTTTTGCCGTGTGGCACCTGTTGATGGCAAATACTGAACCCAAATCGGGGTTTTTTTTCAGCCAGCTGTTCCAATGCCTGTCACGCTATGTGGCACAAAGTCAACAGACCCATCAAATAGCAGCAGGGAGCAGCTCCGCGCACCTAAGGAGATAGTAAGTGGTCGGGAGCATGGTCCAAGAGTGTAGCTGTACAGACTCTCTACTCTCTAGACCAGATATTAAATTATTTGCTCCTAAACATACATTATTGTGTCTGCTTCATCCTTTGTGCTGTTTCAGCAGCAGTTCCAGCAGTAAATAAATTATGGAGCAAGACAATGTATATATTATAGATCTATGGCTGGCGGCCCTCTGGCACATTTTCTTTAAGTGGAGCAATGAAATAGTTGGATTTCCTTTGGATCTACATGCTATTTTTTGTTAAATTTAAGGCTGCTAATAAGCTCTAATATAGTATCATCAATTTGCGCTCCAGGATCAGTAGCCATCACTGGATCAACTGGATCAGACAATACAGGCCATCAGTGGTGGCCTGGGGCTATTTGAAGCTAGGTTGAACCTTACAAAAAGTGCCCAACACAGCCAGGGGCATGGCTGAAGTTAGGCTATTAACTACCTGGCTACTATTAGGGTATTTTGTCTAAATACTACCACTTTAGCTCTGTGGGGAACAGGTTCAAACATGATCATGAACACATATTCTAGATCTTTGAGAATGCCCCAGATATAAGGAGCATCGCCAGATCCTCTGGAAGCACTCTTGCAATATCGCACTCCCAGAGATCTTGGGAACACAAGGCGGCATAATGGCACTCACTAAATTCCTAGAAGAATCTGGTGCGTTCACAAAGACCGGACACAAACGGAGGGAAGAGGAACTGGAACCAGACATCTCCGAGTCTGATGACAAAGAGTCAAAGACGGCGCAGGCAACGACGACAACCATGGTTAGATGGGACTACAACAGAGAGGAGGCCCACACAGACAAACAGCACACCCGGAGAACATGCCATTATAGCCCAAAAACCTATGCATTTATGTCTATGACGGACAACACCCAACCGATACAGCCAGCAGACACTGGCTCACACAACCTCCCCTCTTACATCTCCACCATAAACCCCCATAGCTGAACGGCTTTGCCACGATGTCTGACACCCCCGATGGCTGCTCATACGATCACTGCGCCTTAGTAGCTATAAGCTAGCTGGTCATACTCGGCTAGCATTATGTAGGTAGTATATAGGATGTAGGTAGAAGGAATATGATAAGTAATATCTCCGAAGAGACTGGGGAAGATAAAAATTCATGTATGAATGCATAAGCGCATTATACATAGATGGAAATGTGCCTGGCTCGGCCACAGGCTACATGAAGCGCCCCCAGCCCTGAGCGCACTGAGGCGACTCCAGGAAATGGGCGACACTCACCTGAGGCGCTCCCAGCCACAAGAGCGCAACAAGGCAGCTCTGGGCGGGAGACCAAACTCGAGGCAGCCTGCGGCCAGCATGACGCACGACTGGGTGGGAACCGACGCCAGAAGCGAGCAGCCGGCCCCCCCCAAAGGAGCAGCGCTCCAAAGCGAAGCGCGGCCGGCAAACGCAAGGCAGCAGCAGGCACCCCACCTGGAGTGCTGCGACAAAGGGAAGGGGGAAGTGGGAGAAGAGAAAGGAAAGGAAGAACAGGATGATAGAAGCGCACCACAACCCTAGGAAAACCCAGGGACAGCTGTCTTCAGCCTAAGAGGAGGCTCTAGCAGTGCTTGAGGTGACAGAGACCCAAGAGTTGGTGAGCTTGATGCAAGACCAGATAGTGCTGCCAGTAAGCAAGAAAAGGAAATGTCTCAAGGACAAGGAGGGGAAGGTGTCACAAGGACAAAGAAGGGGATGTGTCACAAGGACAAAGGAAAGGGAGGTGTCTCAAGGACAAAGAAGGGGAGGTGTCTCAAGGACAAGAAAGGGGAAGTGTCACAAGGACAAAAGAGAAGGAAAGTGTTAAAATATCACAAGGACTGGTCTCAAGGACCAAGAAATGAAGAAGGAACAGAAGCAATGTAAAGAAGGAAATAAAATATCACAAGGACATGTCTCAAGGACAGAGAGAAAGAGAAAGGAGTCACAAGGACTCAGGAGAGGGAGATGTAACCTAGACAGAGGGTAGAGAACCAGAGAACGCGCGAAAAGTCTTGAAGGCGAGGCTAGATGGTGGTGCCGAGCTAAGGATGAATGGGAGTGACCTGTGTGACATATCAGCTGATGGCCGCCGTTGAGTGCTCTCCAGCTAGCTTATCTCTCGCTACAGACTTTTGCATAATGGAGTGCAGTCGTGATTTTGGATTTGTGTGACAGCTGCCACCTGTTTTGGGCTGAAATCAGGCATAAGGGGGCTCGGAAAGGCTCGGGAATGCCAGCCGATGGCACACTTATGCCAAAAATCAATCAAAAATGGCGAGAAATCAAAAATCGGACTGCATTCCATTATGCAAGACCCTGTAACCGCGGCTCGTTCCTCGCCCCGGCTAGCTGCCAGTAACGTACGGAATATAAATGTGATTCAAAAAGAAAAAAAAATTAGTCACAGAATTTCCGCATTTGGGTGGTTTACGTTTGATTGGATCTCACACCTCTGGGGCGCGAAGAAGGAACTCTTCTTCTCAGTCTACCGATTCCCTCTGTCTGACGCGGTTGAATGAGCAACTCCGGCCCTTCCGCCTCTCCGTTAATGACCCGCTATGTGGTTCAGAGGTTCTTTTCTTATTGCTCCTATAGTCGACACTTAATTGGAAGCAGCTCCGATGTGCTAGACCATTTGGTTATCGATGTAAAGGAGGAGGGTTCGGACAAGGTCTTATGGTTCAAGGTGTGTGTGGCTCGTGGTTGTTTGCGTGTGTCTACACATCGAAGGAGGAGCGGTTTTTGGACGACGAAGAGATCGTCGAGCGACTTGTTGTGAGTTTTATGAATTATATCCCTCAACCCTTTCATAAATTGAAGCACAAAGAGTCGGGGCTCATCCGATGGACTATGCATCGTCCAAGAAGTGGCTGGTATATTCGTATCCGTTCTCCAACCTTTCCTCCTGGTTTGCTCTTGTTGCAACGATTGTGCTCATGCTCATGTGTTGCCGATGCGGTACTGCAGGTGTCTACATTCCCTTAACACCAGCACCACCAGCTGGTGCGCATCCGCCTGGGTCCTTACTTTTTTCCTCTCGCACCAATGCCTTTATCCCCAACACGCCTTCCTTGATGCATTCATATCCACCCCCACCGACTTCCCCACCTGGACAAGGTCCCGTTGTTCAGTCCGCAACACCAACCATTATTCACACTCAACCAGAAAACGGGCGAATCCTCATAGAAACAATAACCCAATTTGTGCTGACACCCCATCAACTCGATGGCAACAAGTCGGAGGAGCTTAGCTTTTTCCACAAGGCGCTCAATACTATTCGCAAAAATAGCGCGGGTCCTGACTACTCTTTCACCCTCCGGCGCATCGCACCTATTTCTACGACATCACAAGCTCCGCCGCCTACAACGACTGTGACGTCGGAGGCACCGTCTCCGCTGGTGACATTCACTGACCGGACTCCTACTATGACTGTGCATGCAATCACTGGGCTCCTCATTGTATCGCAATTTGAGGAACAAATGCTTGGGATCGAGTCGAGCTTCTGGATCGCCGTTGCTTTAACATACCTTGAATTCCTACAAGAGAAGGAGGCGAGTCGTTTCCATGGTTCAACTCAACCCGCTCATAAGCTTGATTCCTAGAGCTACCTAGCCGCCCTCAGTGACTGAGCTAGATATCGTGAACAATCACAATATAGGGACTTGGGACGACGATGAGCGAGTGGGACGACGACGAGAGAGTAGGAGAGCGAGTATTCCGATACTTCGCTCCAATATCGATCCTCGACAGCAGAAAGTGGTGGAGTTGCCTCAACGGCAACCCCTCAGAATTGTACTTCGAAGTCTATTGACTCTTGCGCTATTCCCTGTAGTGAGGCAATAGGCTTTGGGGGGTTAACACAAGGCCAACTAGGCCTCTATCCATTCCAAGTAGATTGCTAGGACCGTAGACCGTAGACTCCAAATGTTTCAAGACAATCATCCAGACCAATGCAATGGTTTCTCTTGTTCTTGGTTCTTACAAGAACAGTAAGATAAGAAGAGCATGTTGATTATATTAAACTGTGCATTTACAATAGGACTCAAAAATCTCTGTCGCCATACCCACGCTGAACACGGTCACTAGCTTGCGCACGGGCAGCAACTGAAGCATTGTATCGGTCCTGAGGGTTGGCGTCTTGGCGAGAACTGACAGCAAATTCGAGGTTCAAGGGTCCAAACTTCGTCATACGACCATTGTGTTTTTGCAAGGCCGCCGTTGCCGCCTCGACGGACTTGAACTCGATAAATCCCGTCGAAGTCAGTTCGCCTGTTACCCTGCTTCGCAAAAAATAGGTGCGAATAATGTCTTGATCAAAGGCTGAGAGTGAATGGCGAAGGGCAAGACCGTCACCCCGAAAATCGAAAAAGTAGAGACTTGGGCTTGGCATCTTGCGGCCAGTTGCTCTGGAGGCCGCATAATCGATTTTCACGTTACGGTCAAGCATGTAGAGGGGTTCCTCTGCAAAGCTGTCGTGGGCCGCAACAGCGTCATCTTCCCTCTCAAATTCCACATGCGCAAATCCCTTGAATGTGCCTTGTGGGTCAAGCGAAAGCCGCACACTGCGAAGAGGACCAAATGGTTCGAATTTTTCACGAATTTCGGCCTCATTGGTGCCGAAAGGCATGTTTCCAACATAGAGGGTAGACGAAGGCGGTGTAGGTGAACGCATACTGGCCATGCCGCTCGCATGAGACGGCCGAGCCATGGTGTAGTCAACGCGCATAAGTCGGTTGAGTATTTTGATTTCTGCGTTGAAAGCGGCCGTGGATTCTTGGACACTGCTGAATGTAATATAGCCAAAGCCTCGACTCGATCCATCTGGATTTAACACTGGCACGCTTTAACGAACTGCTTGACATCGAAGGACGTGGGCACATACCTAGTCGCAGACTGTTAATGTGCCCATAAGACTCCAGGGCTTCTCGCACCTCCGCCTCTGTAACCTCATATGGAAGGTTTCCAATGAATAATTGTTGACTGGGGGGATGCTGGGACTGTTTTTGGACGACCGGCACATCAAACCTACGAATGGCCGAAAAAGAGAGAAAACGCGTTGGACGTTGACATGGCGCGTGTGTAGTTTGCCAAACACGGGAGAAGAGAGAGTCATAAGATGATACCGCCGCGGTACGGGCTTGACGGCGGAGGACGGAGGCGAACATGGAGGAAAAGAGCAAAAATTTGGGTGTGACCAAGGTGTTGATTGACCAACTGTCACGAGAAAACAAAATCTCACAATTCTGTATTATACTAGCGTAAGCTCGTGCTACGCTACGGGGTATGCCAATCAAAGACAACAACCATGCCATTCTTGTAAAATTTCAAGATATCCTTGACGCGAGGCACGAGCGGCTCAAGAGTATCGTGGGATAAGTTAGCTACAGATGTGTCGTGTAGCTAGTCATGTGACCTCCATTTTTTTTTTCTTTTTGTTTCTGCATTTATATACCGCAACAAGTACACTAACTACTAAGACACGGTGGTCGGGACGCTGGTTCCGTCTGGCCGCTCGGTGGTGGTGTGTGCCAGGTTTGGGATCATCCTTGATGAGGATATTATTCCAGTGTGAACAGACAAATAGCAGAGCTTTAAGCTGCTGAAAGAGTTTGTCCTGTGCTTGAGGATGTAGCAGAAGCTTGAAGATATAGCTTATAAGCTCTGTTGGAACTTCAAGAATCTTGCCATATAGTATCTTAGAAAGTTTTACAGCTGTCTGCTTTCATTTTATAAGATAATAATTCAGCTTCTCTTGAAGTTGCAGAATATCCTTGTCCAGGATAGCCAGGTCTAATCGTAAGGACACAGCTGATAAGTCCATTCGATATGGTAAGAAAGAAGATTTGATTGATTATATAATTGTATTATGTCTTCAGCAGCTCTAGAAGTAGTTGGAAGATTGAAGAGGCTCCTCACCCTTCCAGACATTGACCAAAGCCATACTGGTCTATGTAAGGGCAACCCCGGAGGCCTGAGATCAAGGTCCTAGCAGGGGAGGATCCAAAGCGTGAACATTGGTAAGCGAATACAAATGAAGCTGACCTAGCAGGGGAGGATCCAAAGAGAAGAAACTCTAAGGGTCCGCCTGCTAGGGAGCTGACTATATACTGCTTGTCCATAGCTGCCGCTGTCGGGCACAGAAGGCTTGGGCGGCGTCGCAGGCAAGGTCCCAGGGTGACCGTCGGGAGGGCGTTGACGGATTGGTGATTGTGCGGGCAAGATGGAGGGCCGGACCGGAGTCGGAACCGGAATCGGACCGGAATCGGACGTGTCTCCAGGCCGAAAGGGAGGTTCCCCTGACATCACCCCCCCTTTGAATGCGGCGTCCTGACGCATAGACCGGAACGGAATCGAGTCGAAGGTCGCGGAGGCGATGTGTTGTGGCTTGCCAGGGTACTTACGATAGAACTCCGTAATTTTCTCCGGGGCGAAGACGCGGTCGAAGGGAACCCACTGGTCGTGCGATGCGTCATAGCCTTTCCATCTGACGAAGTAGTTCAGCTGTTTATACCTCACCCTTGTGTCCAAGATTTCCTCTACTTCCCACTCTGGGACTCCGTCCTCGAGGTCCGGAGGGGGCTGGTCGTAGCCGGGGCGTCCGTCGAAGGGGTCATCCTGGGCGAGCTCGAGCTTGACGACGGGGAAGACCGGGTGGAGCTTTGAGTAGCGCGGAGGGAGGTCGAGCTTGTAGGCACCTTTGCTGATCTCCGCGACTATCTTGAACGGTCCGAGGCGGTGATGGGAGAACTTTTCCAAGGGGCGAGTCATCCTGATGTTAGAGGCATCCAGCCAAACACGGTCGCCAACCTTAAACTCCGGAGATGGAGTGCGTCTCTGGTCGTAGTAGCGTTTGTACTCCTCTTTGGCCTTTGTGAGCGCAGCCTTGGCTTCAGCAACACCAGTGGCGATCCGGTTGCGGAACTCGTTCACAGACTCCATAGCGGAGTGGACTCCGGGTTCAAAGCCCATGCGCGGGAGCCGGCCCGAGTCCGTCATGAAGGGGACCTGCTGCGTGAAGGAGTGAACATGATTGTTGTAGGCGAACTCCACAGCCGGAATCAGCTCATCCCAGTCGTCCTGCTGATAGTTGGTGAAGATCCGCAAGTACTGCTCCAACTCCTGGTTGATGCGTTCTGTCTGCCCGTCCGTCTGCGGGTGACACGCAGTGGACATGGCAGGCTTGATGCCAATTAGATGCCAAAGTTCTCAGGTGAAGTCCCCGATGAACTGCGAGCCGTGGTCGGAGATGTACTTCTCCGGAGTCCCATGGTGCCGCCAGATGTTCCGGTAGTAGAGGCGGGCTGCCCCTACTGCATCGACCGTTGTATGACACTCCAAGAAGTGGGCGCGCTTTCCGAGGGTGTCAACGACGACCATGACACCTGCTAAGCCCAATTATCTACTCTAATTAGAATGAAGAGCCCACTGGGGTCTTCATTCTAATTAGAAGAGAACATATGAAAATGCCTATGCTGCAGTAAAGCTCACAATAAATCTTCTATAACTGCAATAATTTCACAGCATAAGATGATACTGACCCTAAGTGTCTATGCTGCAAATATTATGACTATACTATATTTACTACAAGACAAGAAGCCTTAAGCTGCAACTAGAGTACTTATGCTGCAAGAAAACTGCAATGATTTCTAGCTATATGACATAGTAACTTCTAAGTTAGTGGCTGCTACATATGCTGCAGTAAGTCCCAGACATTTACTCAAGTATGTAAGTCCAGCTCTATCTAATCGTAAACTACCTGAAAAGGAAATTCCTAATCGTCAGTAAAATTTCAGCACCTGTGCAGGCCAATACCTACCAGCTCTGTACATGCTGTTACAGAATGTGACACAAGGTCACAAGTGTGACATAATTCCCCAAAAGGAAATTTCTCAGTTTAACAGCAGGATGACTAGAGAATGTCACAGATCGTCACAAATCAAAGTTGTGCATTTTTACTATACAAACAACTTTTATCAAGTGACCTATAGTTACAGCTCAATAGCTAGGTTAAAACTGTCCAATCACTGGCCAATAGATAACTGATAGGCCTCTATCTCCATAGATACCTAAGCTAAACATATGGATCAAGTACTAGGTAGAAGGTTCTGAAAGGTATCATTGATCAATAAGATATTTTCATCATCATGATTTGATATAATTACCATATTCACCATTCATTCATAAAAAATGGAATATCTCAAAATTAAAACATGTAAGGTGGCTGGATTGTAGATGTAGATACTATAGACTGAGGCTCTAGTGTGTGACTTCCTAATCCACAGTGAATATGGCACTGAGAATACAATGCATTTGCTCATCAGTGGTATTTGACCTCCATCAACTGTGAAAGATAAGCATGGATCTTCAGCTAGCCTTGGAGGATAAAGCTGGGAGAGAGCTCATTTGAAAGGTATAACATGTCACCATTTCCTGACCCATCCAGTCATATCATCTGTCACCATCACCTTAATCTGTCAACTGCCAAGTATGACTGAATACTGAGGTGAGGAGCATTTTGCTGATATCTTGGGCCCTCATGCATATAATCTCATGATCCAAGTTGATCCAGCTACAGAGGATAGTCCACTATAATCCCACTGATTAGTGACCCCACAGGAAGTGTTGAGGTCACTGAATTTCTAGAGACCCTAGGTGCAATATAACCTGAGATAGAGATATGCTAGAGGGGCAGGGGTACCAGTTTCTGGGAGGTATACTATACCCCTACTATTATATATACTCAGATTCCTCAGATTCACAAAGGTTATACCATGGTGAACTCATCATTATTGGAATAGATAATATTGATAATGGTCCTGTACAAGATCCAGAATAGCTATGAGGTTGATTCAAGTGCTGTACAGGTTTATTTGAAGTTCTATACAATCCTAAGTTCAAGTCTTTCATCATACTTGAAATTAATTTCTGACCAGTTGTAATAGCGAAGACACTCTTTTTTACTCTATAGGTACCTACCCTCTCTTCAGCTACCTTTAGTAGCACAGTCCAGAACCACAACTGATTCTGGTATAGGGTCCTAGTAGACATTCAAATATCTTCATACACCCACCTCAAGGTCCAACACTCAGTTTATAGACCTCACAAATCCTGTAAACCAGTCTTTGCACTTTCCCAGTAGTTGAATGTCTGCCCCAATTCACCATCCAAGAGCATACACTCATGAATCAGAGTATGCGGGTATATGTATATACCTTATTGACTGAACTTGACATATTTTGATCCATAATCAACTAACAGATCATGGCTATATTGCCAATATGATGTATACTAGCAGTCATGTGTATAATGGACATTTACCAGAGATTTCATGAATAAAACAAGATGGGAGGTATTCCATCTCTTAGGGAGACCCACTGTATGCTTATTGCCCTTATTCCATTGGGTACCCCTCACTTCTAAGTGAGTTATTAGGAGATTATAGTAATGAGATATCCACCATATATAAAGGTGAATATGATGCCTAAAATATGGAGGGTTCTCATACCTATGAAAGATATCGAGTAGACCAGAATGCAACTTAGATCAAGCTTATCCATAAATTCCTCATCAAGATATCAAGTGATCATTGTGCTTGATCAAATTCAATAGAGAAAAACTACAGAAAAGTGGTATAACAGTATAGTCTAAAAGTATGAGACCAAACCCATATCAGAACATGTCTACACTAGGTTATTATCTACCTACCAGTATAACAATCATCTGACTTGATACAGTATTGGTGAAGATATTGCTGCATCAAGGTGTGTGATGAATAATCATGAGATGTTCTACATTTATTAATAATATTGTATTGTGAAGGATATTAATATTATCTTGTGAGTACACTTTGTAGTGCTTAAATCATCTCTATAAGTTGTCTACTTAGTGAGATATCACTACATCAGGTGGAGATTAGCAAATGATTAGCCATTACTGAATAATTATGACTATAGGTCACCTAATGAAAGTTGTTTGTATAGTTAAAATGCATAGCTTTGATTTGTGACAATGTGTGACAATCTCTGGTAATCCTGATGTTGAACCGCGGAAATTTCCTTTTTTTGGAACCATGTCACACTTGTCTTGCAACATTTATGTCACATTAATATAGCAGACTGTATGGAGCTGGTAGGTATTGGCCTGCTGCTGGAATTTTACTGAAGATTAGAACTTTATGTAA